TGCCAAATTTAGCTGGGAAAAAACGTTCTAGTTTAATTTTATCGTGTATATAGAGCGGAAAATGTAACAAATTATAATCTAAAATTACGCCGGCAGGTAAATGTAAACTATCGTGTGCTTTTTTGCTCTTTCTCGTTTATTTATTCATCGTTTCAATTATTCACTGCCTAATGGCACTGAACATATGTGCGGCACTTTCAATTAGTCAAGTTTATCCATTCGATTGCGTATTCAATGCGTTTATTCTAATGAGCATAAATAATAATTGCGGTCGAGTTTTTATCAAATTGAACGGACAAACCGTTTCAAATTCAATACATTTATTTAAATTGAGGGAGATAGAGAGAGAGAAACAATGAAATGGAACTTCGGAATGGCCAATGGCAAATAAATATTAGGCGAATAAACGCTTAATTAAATGAGTCCCAATGAATCGTGGTGAATATGGAGCAAGAGAGATAAGCATTTCGATAAAATGTGTATTTTTTCAGTGTCATGAATTCGTGATGTGGTCAAATGGAACTGATTTAATCGTGCCGAAAATAAAATTATCTTCATTTTTTATTAACCATTTATCATCATATTTTTGTGTGTGCCGCTGTGCCACGAGAAATGAAAATTGAAAACGATGTTGCAACCTAAAGATGAGACTGGACTGTAGTATCAGCGGTAGCTTCCGTTGTGTGTGTGTGTGTGATTTCATTTCGCTAACATAAAACTCTCAAATGAATTAGCCATGAAAAATTCATTGCCAAACAAAATGGATAAAATTAAATCTCGGTATGCATTCGGCGCTCTTATTTTTCCCCGACAATATCGTGAACGGGACGAAAACTTTAGTCGTTTGCTTCATAAATTTTCATCTTGTTGCATAATTTAGTATCATTTAAATTAAATTGACTAAATTGGAACAGAGCATGAATAAAAAAAATAATTTGAACGAAACGATTTTTCCGCTTTTTAATGACAAGAAATATTAATTGTCACTAGCTGCATAGTCTCCATATCTCAATTTGATTTTTTTTAAACCACGGAAACGGTTGCAAAAACCACCCACCCCCGTTCACAGATTGTGGACCGCTTTGAATGAAAATAAACGAACCGAAATTCAATGAATTTGAATTAAGTGGAATTATAATTTAAACATAATTAAAATCGTTTCATTTGCCATCATTATAATTATCTACGTCAGCATGTCAGATACGGTGATTAAACGCAAATATTAATTATTTCACAGTTAATTATTCATCATCGTTGTATAGGAGAGGAAAAAAACTACCCGCAAATTTAATTATTGTCAAATAAAATGTCGTTAAATGTAACTAAAACTAACTAGTACACATGTGCCATCTCGACTGTTTGTTACTGGAATCACTGTCACGTCAATCCAAATTGAGTATTCTTTTTTTACATATTTCAGCGTGTTGAATGAATTTTTCTAATGTAATTGTTTTAAAAACCATTTTATTTGCCTGTTGATTGTGTTGATTTGGAGCAACCAACCCTTTTTGCACTTTGAATATGAAAAACGATATCTGAAATATTGTTGGTTGGTTGGCTGGTGGTTCGCGACTTCCTTTTTAATAATTCACCTTCACATTTTCATTTTCGAGAATAGAATTGCATTAAATGTAATTTTCATTGTGAATTCAGACGTTTCCGAAAAATTTATCATCAGTCTGTACAGTGTACACAATGTTCGGTTGTTGTTGCAAAAATGTGTATAGTTGCCCCCTCGGTTTTTATCATGATTGCATTTTTCCGAGCGCACAACCATTACTTTAAGTGCTCCGAATATTTGCGTTTTACATTCATAACAACGAATTAAAATTCATTTCGTGCATATTTCATTATTTGAATCTCTCTATGTGTCTCCGCTTTATATTTCATCTCTTGTTGACCAGTTTGGTATCTTTACGTTTCACCTCTGTGCCATGTATACAAACACGATGATTTTCGCGGCCCACACATTTTTCATTTGCAATATACATTTTTGCCTAAAAATAAAACAGCGTGCGTGCGTGCTTTCCCACAAAATCGTTAAAATGTTAATTTCATTGTTATAAATGTACATCCGTAGACCATCATCATCGTCATCGCTGATAACCCACTCGAAAATGTGCAATCTATTTTCGAAATTGTTTACTTTTTCGCTGCATCTAAATACGATCAGCATAATCTCTCTTGTTAAAATTTACATAATCCTATTTAGTGTGCAAATCATTCATTTTTTTCGGTTTTGTCTCACTCGTTCATTTTAACAAACATGATGCAAAATTCGAAAATTCACACAGCATGATCAATGCATGGAAAATATGAATTTTCTAATCGAATGTGTGATTGCAAATATCGATGAGTCTACCATGCCAATATAGATGTTTTGCATTTTGAAATGGTTCTTTTTTTAGTAAACAGAAAATGTATTTCCATTAAACCAACGAGCGGCCGCAGTACATTTCAAAATTAAAACACATCGGTCACATCATGCCATATCATATGGCTGATGCATTTTTCGCAGCCATACATACACACACAAACACAACGAACCGATTTTATAGCATCGTAATGATCAAATGAAAAACAATGAACTATTGTTGACCAACACATACACATACAATATTCGATGGCTTCCATCTCCAGCTTGCTGATGTTCTGTGTGTTACCAATTACACGAATCAATTAAATTGAAAGAATTAGCACAACTGGTTTTTCACTGTGAGTGAATTTCGAGCAAACAAATTCATCGAATATACTAGTTGGAAAACTGCTGAATTCCATTTTTGTGCAAGGTAATATGGTTGTTTGCATTTCTATTTGAACTTCGCATCAAATATTCGAATTACAAGAAACCAAACAATAAACACTCTCTCGTTTTCACTATCTCTTTCTATCACTCCGGCTTTATTCGTGTATGCGTTATTGAAGAGATCCAAAAATCGACAGGTAAAATGTGGATTACATCTTTTGTTTTAGAATCAATCGACACAATCTGATAAATTAATGTAAATAATTGATTTAATTGTTCGGTAAACAACGGTTTTTCAGAATCTCTTTTTATACTTGGCTTCATTTAATTTAATGAAGTGCAAAACCAAGATATCTTTCCGTACATAAGAATTTAACAAAAAAGAGTTCAACTTTCTTGCTTAATAACGGAAATTAAATACTTGCGAAAGTAAACGATTAATTAGTGGAAAAGCGTAAATTATCAAGTCAGTGTTTTTGTTATTCGAATGAACATCGTCTCGAATTTTGTTGTATTTGTATGTGCACAATCTGTGTAGTTGATAAAATTTCATTATGCCAAAGAAGAAGGTAGCGAATGTTGGCGTGTGCTTGACTCTATTTACAATGCGATTTTCAACCAGAAGTAATCCTTTCATGGCGCTATGCAAAATTTGCCATGTGTTGAAAATGATCTCTCAATTGAGAGCCCGGATTTCACATTAGTCATCAGAATATAACTTGTGAACTCATCATAAACAATTTACGTTGTTCGACAAGGCAAACAAAAATGATTTAGAGAGTGAGAGTGAGAGAGAGAGAGACAATGGCATTACCCTTCCGAAAATCCGCGGCATGTTTGCACACGCTGTCAAATGAGAATGCACACAGTATGTAAAATGGAATGTTTGCAAATCATTAGAGTAAAAGTGCCACTGAAAATGTATTGTGTTTGATTTAAGAGAATGTCACTGTACTGTCTCACGGCACTTGTAAAACGCCAAACTAGTTAACTAAGCCAACAACAAAATAAAAATGTACACCCCAACAGGTTTATATGTTGACGTAGACATTCTACCGTTTTAATTCACTTATCTTCCATGTGGCTTGATATTTTTGTTTGTCTTTTGATTGTGACCATACAAAAGATATGATCTATTTAACATTGTTAACACTACCAAACGGAGAAAGAAAATTTACTTTTTATGTTTCTTTCGTTTGAGTTCGCTCATTTAACTTTTGAAAAAATGTCATCTTCTGTTTGAGATTATTCGGAAAATGGAACCCGTCTTTCTGGTCATACCATTCTCTGTTCGCCGTGCACATCGATTTCTTGTAGCACGAGGCAAAGGGAGCAAACCATTGTGTCCCAAGTGATTTGCACATCATCTACACATTAATACAAAATTGCACGAACTACAAACCGCATTTCGAATGAAACATAATAATAATCAATTCAAAAATAGAATAATAATCTTTGTTCGCTTTTACAGCGTGTTGTTATATTGTTGTCAGAATTTACGATGGTTCTAATGTCAAAGGCATTTTAATATTCTAAGATGAATGTTTGCGTTTCTTATGCTTAGTTTTGTTTAGTTCGGACCATGAGCTAATTTAAAACTCACTTTTCAAAATTGCTAGCACATGTCCCATGGGACAGTTGACTATAAAGCAAACATTGTTTTATGTAAAGTCTATTTTAATTTATGTGAAACAACTTCCATGAATCATACAATTGCACTTGCTTTGATCTGGTGATATTCATGGCGACTCTTCACATCAAAAAAGACGCATTTTATCTTTCCTTTTTTCTAGCTATGAACCATTTCCTTTGAGTCGGTTAAAATCAATTGAGTCAAAATGAAGTTGCTTTGAGAAAAAAGAGCCTGATGGACTAATGAAAATTTCATTTTTTTTTTTTTTAATGAAAACCAATTCATTATAAAACGAACAGAAAATATTCACTTTATAGACACATTTTATGACATACATTGTTAAGTAAACAACATAAATAGCTCAATTTTACAATGATATCGTTTTCTTTAATGTGGCATAAATGAAATTTACTTAAGCATACACTTTGACAAGATTTCGCGAGAGAGAGAGAGAGAGAGAGAGAAATAGACAGAGAAAAAATAACAAGTATACTTTGTATTGAGTATTTATCTTGCTGAATGTGAATTTCAAAGAGATAAAAAATTATTTATATTTGATATTTTTTTAACGAATGAACATTACATTAATTTCAATTGTTTATTGTTCTTTTTTGTATATAGATAAATTGCATCCGTGCTTTGTATGTAAAGAAGAAAATTGTGTGCGAACGCGACCATTGGAAAAGGGTCGTGGTCAACAGTACGGTATTTCAGATGATACGATTCCGGTCGGTGCTCGTGTATGCAATACGTGCCAATGTAAATCGGTACGAAATCGGTATCCAAGCTGTCCACTGCCAACGTGTCCAAATCCCAAAGATCGTGTAACACGATTTAGAAATTTGCCGGCTCGTTTATTTGAAATTGCCGCCGATATTCGTGATCCAATCATTCAAGAATTTCAAATACCGCCAAATGTTACGAAATGCTGTTCGGCCTGTTTGATAAAAATTAAACGAAAATTGGGTCCGAATTTAACCGGCACAAATTTAACTGACGAAGAAATTACAAAATTGAAAACCCTATTGCAAGACATTGGACCGAAATGGTCACAACTTGCTGAATCGTTAGGCAAAACAGCTGTTGCATTAAGAAGTTTTTGCTTTCATTATAAGAAAAAGTACTCGTTTGATTTGGCTGTGAATGAATATTATAAATCGCATCCAAGTGAGGAGCATCGTACGACAATTACCGATGGCGATGAATCGGATTTGAGTACATCGTCATGCGATGAAAATGAGGGTGGCAGTGATACGGCATCCGTTGAAAGTCCAAAAGCAACGTCGAACAACCAAACACCATTATCATCGTCATCATCAACATCATCATCGTCGAATGTAACCGTTAAGAAAGAAGAAACCCTAACCGAACCGTCGATTGCAGTTACAAATACAGACGATCGATTATTGCCACCGGTTGCACAAGCACCACGTAAGCCAAAAGCTGAAGAATACGATAGTTCAGCCACTGAAACTGCTGACGAAGAGAACGAAGCATCGCCCGGAAATCGAAACAGTCCAAAAGTATTATTGTATCAAAATCAAACAACAATTACAATGGTACCATCATCGGTACAAAATGGACCACGCGATTCAATAAATCCGGAAATGACAAATGTGCGTGATGTTATGTTGAATGTGATAGAACGTTCATTGAAAACTGGCCAACAGCCACCGCCACCGAAACCAAGCATTTCAAAACCAAACGTTTTGGATTCACGTGCCGATATCACATTCGTCGATGTATATCGCAATGACATTGGAAAACCACATCATATTTCTAGCATGGCAAATGTAACACAACCAGCCGCATTGTCACGTACATCGAATCAAGAAGGATTGGCAACACTTTCCGTTGTCAATTCACATGGTCATACGCAACAAGTTTTATCACATCCACATTCGATCTCCAGTCAAATTGCTGCAACCATTACACCTGTGCAAAATCAAACGTCGTCATCATCATCATCGTCGTCGTCATCATCGTCATCAAATCAAAATCAATCGTCATCGGTACCAAAGTCAACCGTACATGATGTTCAAAAAGAAAGTGTTGTTGTATATTCACGTGCCGATGAGCAAACATTGGATCTCAGCATTAAAAAACCCGTACGTGACAATTTCCCGCCACCCGCACATTCAAAACCGATTCCAGGCAGTAGCGTTACAATGTATCGCAGTGATCCACATGCACATACACAAACACCACCATCAATTGTTAATCCAAATCCAAATTATATGATGTACGATCACAATCGACCATCGAAATCACCATCAATTTTTATGTCGACTGTACCAACGTCATTGCCAATGTCACAACAGCCACAACATAGTATCCAAAATTTACGCGCACATCAAAGTCCTGTTATGCATTCACAGGTGTCACAGCAACCATCGATTTCGTCACAGTCAAAAGCCAAAACTGCACCAAAACTCAGTCCAAAAGTAACACAACATCAATCGAACAACCAACAGAGTGGTCACAAAGGTAAAAATTTAATTCTTTGACAAGCTTATTGCTTTTAAATTAGAACATGTTTTTTTAACTGAACATGATTTTTCGTTGCGTTCCCTTTTGTCAGGTTCTATAACACATGGAACACCAGTAAATTCGAACAATCAACAGATTCTTATTCAAAGTCCAGCTACGCTTAGTCCACGATTTGATAGTATTTTACGTCAAACACCACCATCTGGTGATAAATTAGGTTCAATCACACAAGGAACACCGGTTCATTTACCACCACATCATTTAACTGATAAGGCACGCGTCTATGATTACTACAAGAATCGACAGAGTCCAGCTCAACCACAGCAGCAACCATCACCGCAAGCGGCCACATTCGGTTCACCGTACGCTCAAGTACGGCCATCGGGCCCATATGTAATTGAACAACCGGCACAGCTAAGCTCCCGACAAATCATTATGAATGATTTTATAACGTCACAACAGATGCACGGCCAACAGGCACGAGGTCGATCTGAAAAAGAATCGCCATCTCCACGAAGCGCTGGGGTCGCTGGATCACCAGCATCATTGTACTATGCTGAAAAAGAGCAACAGCGACAACGTGCCGAATATCTTAGTCGGGCATCACCAGCTGAACATATTAATAGGTTTGTTTATTTTATTTTATGTTGAAGATCAATGTTTTTTTAACACAAAGATTTATTATTTACAGTACTCCAAGCCCACACCGAACACCTCCACCTCAACGTCAAGGAGTGATTCAACGTCATAATACCGGTGGTTCAAAGCCTCCAAGTCCCGCACCAAATCGATTGCATATTATGCCGCAACATCATTATGCGATGCCAGGTAAAGAAGAATTCAAATTTGTTGTGTAATAGGTTCCCCGTTATTTTATTCGAAATTTTTGGGAATTTTGAATAAATTTGTTTGAACTAATTTGCAATATTTCAGGTCATGAAGCATTCTCTTCATTGGTCGACGTAGCTGTTCAACAACCATTGCTACCAGTTCCACATAAAGATGAGAAACGTCCAAATGTTCCAATCAGCGAACCAGCACAACACCATGAAATTCGTTATCATTCACATTTAGGTAGATTTCCCATTGTTTTCTTTTCATTTTCATTTTCAATTCTTTTCCTCCAAACGTTCATAAACTAAAACAAATGAATTTAATTTTGATTAACAGCAGCTGCTGCCCATGAACAAATGGCAATAATGCATCAACAACAGCAACAACAAATGCGAGTTGAAATGCAACGTAGACACATGCAACAGGTAAGCTTAATATAAAAAAAACAAAGCAATGCATTATGATTATTTGGACAATAACGTTATAATTGTTTTATGTAGGAAAGAGAAAGAGTCGACCGTGAACGAGAGCGAGTAGATCGTGAACGTGAACGCCATCATCAAGATCGTATGGATCGTGAGCGACGTGAAGAACAATTCCGACAGGTAAATTCAACCGTTATTCCGTTTTGCTGGACATATTTAACTTCAATTTTAATTTTATAGCGTGGCGATCGGTGGAAATCTCCAGAAAGAGAGCGTGCGGAACGTGATCACGAACGTGAAAGAATCGCCATTGAAGAACAACAAGAAATCGAGCGAAGACGTATGACCAGTGCTGGTGCACATCCATCACATCCATTCATTCGTGATGGCCAAAATATTTCACGTGATGGGTAAGTTTTATATTATTTATGGCACTTTAATTGTGTATCAAACTAACAATTAAAATCAATCAATTACAGCCGACCGGTTAGACAGGCTGATGTAAGCTTGACAGCCGCAAGTCTAATGGATGCAATAATTACTCATCAAATAAAACAAAATGCATCCGAACCACCTGTGATGCGCGACGGTCATCGTCCACCATTCGTAAGTTTTATTCTACATTAAAGCACAGTAGAACATTTTAAAAAAATAATTGAAAAAAAAAAACATTTTAAAAAATTACAATATTTTTGAAATATTTTAGTTTCCCGCGAGAGATTTACATCAAGAGAATAATGGAAAACCACATTCTTTGAATGTGATAAACATCGATTCGGATTCCGATCGCCGTAATCCAATTTTGACAAAAAGCATTACGCTTGGTGAATTAACCGATTCAATAATAGCCAAGGATTATAGTCAAAATCCATTTTTGCCATTGCGACAAACCGCATTCATGCAATATCGGCCCGATCAAACTGAAATGTGGAAAATGAATCGTCGATTAACAACAAAAGATGGTATTCCAGTGCAATCACAGCCACCACCACAATTACCACCGCCCGTTTCACATAACCCGAGTAAATCATCGTCCAACTCAAAAGTGGTAAGAGTCGATTAGCCGGTGTACAAATTTTAAAGTATAAAAACCAAATTCATGTGCATAATAAAAAACATCTTTTTTTTCAGTCAATGCATGAGATAAATAGTAGTGCACGATCAGCAAGTCCACGCACAACCAAAGCATACCATGAATCAATAACACCTCCCGAGAATTATCATTATGCGGTAGCATCAGCTCATTCACGCATACCATCTCAACAGCAGGGATCTGGTCATCAATTTGCTCTTGATTGTTATGTAAAGAATCGTATCGCCGAAGCAATGCGTACCGAAGAAACTGATAAACGTGGCGATGACATTCCTGAACAACAACGTCGTACGCCACAAGAACGACGAACACCATCATCGTCAGTTCATCATAACAAAGAGCATGATCGTAGTTCTACACCTGGTGAAATGGTTATTGACGAAGAATCATCACAGGCCCGTCCTGCATCGGGTACAACAGGTAAATAAAACATTCAAAACGAAAAAAAAACCATTGCAACTAACCGGAATCAATATTAATTTTAATTTACAGAACGAAAAGAAAGCTGGCCATCGTTCACACCATCAACGTATGCTTATCCGTTTAGTGCATTGAATGTATCTGGCGCTGCAGCAAATTTACCGCCACCAATGAAAACGGCTCACGTTGAAAGTGATTCGAGGAGTCAACCACAAGCGCAAGAACCAAAACCATTACTTTCGGCGCAATATGAAGCTCTAAGCGATGAAGACTAATAAAAACATCATAATCACCCATAATAATCATCATGATATTGAATTATTATTTAGTTCAAACTGATATTAGCATGCAGCATCGCAATTCGTATCTGTATCCAAAATTGCATTCCATTTTCTGTTGATATACTGACACATGAACAACCATTACAATCGTATTTGTCGATTCAACTCCTTTCAAAGAGCAAGTTTCTTTTGAACTTGAACGCTTTTCTATTACAAACATTAGTGATTGCTAATTAAACAAACGAACAGTTAAACACACATTCTACTGAATGAATACAAATGACAACGATTAAGATCTTAACCGAAATTCGTTTAATGGAATTTCATTCAAATGAATCTTTTGTTGTTTGTTTGGTTACTTAAAATAAACAAACGATTGATTTGAATTGTATAAAATATAATGTGCATTAATAAGTAAATGCCAAGCACAGTGATTTATGTTTGTAGTTTTACACAAAATTTGGTTTTTCTCCAATTCCCAAAATAACAATATACAATTATCACCAACAAACTAGACCATTCAAGTTTTCAGAGAAACATTTGCGACGACAGAATTTGCTGATTGCATGCTTTATCGACTTCAGTTTTGAGATGTTTGAATTGGTCCGACGACCACAATAATCAATTGTGCACCCTAGGCTTGTTTGAAAATTGAATTATTTTACATCCGATTTAGAGTCATTTTACGCCGTCAGCGTATTTGGATCGAATTTTTTTTGAATTATTGTGCATAAATGATCGATTTTCTTGCCATCATCAGTTGAATAATTTCGATTCAATTGTGATGCATTTTTTTGTGTTTTCATTTTGAGTGGCATGTGCAAGTTAAGATTCAACTTGAATCCCATTGATTGACTTCTTGATGATATTATGTTCCAAAGCTCTGGACCGCTTGGCATCATTCATTGAGTGATTATTGATTGGCATTTGGCCAAGCATCACGACATACATCATTCAAAATGTGATATCAAATGAAAAAAAAATGGAATTAAAAAAAAACCAAATTTAGTGTAAAAAAATCACTACCAGTATATAACTATGTAGAAAAAAATGAAAAGCAGCCGATGCTGCTATAAAAAATATGGTGTTAAAAATGGATAAAAGAAGCCACTGTATTATGTACACATGTGCTAATACATGTAAACTATGTATGATCAATAACAACAACAAAAACAAAAATAAACAATGAGATATAACTCCTGTAAATCTGTAAATTATGAATATTAAATATAATTTTTTTTTAAAACATGAAATTGTAAGCTGTAATTTGCAACAAACAAAAAAAGAAATTAACATTTAGTTTTTATGCGATAGATAGAATGCAGTTGAAGCTGAACAATGATAAACAGCCAAAACAACTGTGACCGCGAATAGACTGTTGCTGTTTGGTATTTACTGTGTTTAATTACAAATTATTGATTATTATTCTTATTCTTAAAAGAAACAAAGAAAATTGGAGAAAAAAAAATTGTATGATTATGATTTATTAGTTTATCGTGAAGTTGAGAAAAAGAAATGAAACCTTTTGAATATGAAACATATTGGAGCTGATTGATAGAGAGAATATTCACACAGTCGAAGGACAACACACTCATAATCCTACTACTCCCATTCTCATGTCAAACACATCTTTGTATACACAGCATACACAAAACTTAAAAGAAAAACAAACACACGCAAACAATAAAACGAAATGTTTTTTAAAAGAAAGAAAATTAAGCGCGCCACTGACACCACAGCCTTTGCTGCCACATCTGTAGTTGTTAATAGCCTAGTTGAATGTGTTAGTTTTATATTTATTATGTTTAAAAATATACAAAGGTAAATTCCCTTTTGCAAAAAATTCCAAAGCAGAATATTGTATGGTATGTCATTCTCAGGCATCCCCCAACAGGCAATTGTATTGCCATGGGACTCTTTATTTGTTTTCATTTTAGAGCAAAACATTTGTGTTCAACATATGCTTGTTACGATAATATATACACGGAAAATGCATGTATCAAAATCGGGTAGAGTCTATGAACAATTTCCGTGTGATTTTGCGAGCAAGAAAAAAAAACATAACAATCAGCACACACACAATCACTCCCATTTCGAAGCGGTCAACATTTTCTTTGTCGTTTCATTTCATTTTTAAATACATTTATTCTTGTGTTGTTTAATTATTATAGTAGTGTGTTTAACAACACATGTTCAATAATGTAAAATAGAGAATTTCAACCGCATACCATTGAAATGACTACTTGGACTGCTAGGCTATATTCATAAATAGCGACCATCTAATGTTAATCTCATGTCCTTAACAAAGCACACGAGCCGTTCGTTCGATGACAGCTATCCGTTGAATATGGCTGTGCCATCTAATTAGTCAATTCCCATTTATGATGTCATGCTACCGATCGCAGTCACATCTTGAGAGCTAATGTGCAAACAAGAAAAAAAGCCCGTTTAAATAGTGTTTAATTAGATAACAGCAACTACAAAAAAATCTGCAAAATATATGAAATGCATCCAATATTATGAAATCAACAAACAATCCCATACATTACCCCATATAAAAACAGCAGAGATAAAATATAATGGCTCGCATTCAGCAAAAAAACACTCACTCACACAACTACAATACAATTACTATTAACTAACGTATGTATATTTGGATTAAATAATTGACAAATTACAACAAAAACAACCACACAAAATTATGAAAGAAAAAAATATATATTAATTATAGTTTAGATAGGTCAACACTTATAGAAGGAATACACGTAAAATTGCAGAAATAACTACTGAAACATTGTATATATGTACACCTAAAACAAACAAAACAAACAAATAAAAAAAAGATTAAATATAAATAAAAGTTCATGCAAACATTTAAATGAAACAATAGCAAGACAGACCATTTTGATTTTACTTTCTATTTTCAGATCTCTTCGTTTTCATTTTCAAAATATTCTCTTCTCCAGCTTTGCGCATTCTCATCAAAAGACATCGGATTTTTTCGCTTCGGTTAAAATTGACATTTACAAAATCTATTTATCCGAACAATTTGGACTGAACACAAAAAATTACGCTTAAAATTCAAAGGTTTAAGAGAATCTATTTCGTATTGAAAGACAATGATGAGCACAAATATTTTGTATGACATTGGAATGAATTCAGGAAATTAATTGATCTCACTTCGATATTTGCGATGCAAATAACATCAAAATACACTATACTTTTTCGTTTATTGTTAACATCTGTTTTGATAGCATTACATTTCAAAAAGTAGACAAAAAGTACATAACAAACTTTAAGAAAGAGCACACAGTGTTAGTGTAAGAATAAAGGGAGTTGAATATGATATTTTTAAATTTATCGATCCGTCTAATTGAGAGGTGACAAATTAAACTGTTTAGATATTGATTGCAAACGACCAGTATATAAAACACACATTGTAATACACGATTCAATAAATTCTGAAAAATAAACTTCAATGTGTTTAAAGGTAATTCATTTTATACACTAGCCTCAATTATCTTGGGTTTCGTTATATTGGGGGTGCGAATTATTTCACACCATTTTTTTCTTGGTATGACTTCAAATCTTACTATTCGAGTCTGCCATTTGATGTTGTTTCACAACAAAGAAAATGGAATGGAAATTGTCGAAGTATTAGATCACTATTATTGAGCCATTTGACACTCAGCCGCTGCATATAGTTACGCTACCATTACACTATGCTTACGCTATGCTGCGGTTAGGCTATGGCTACGTTGCAATTACTCTGCGCTTACGCTAGAGGTGTCAGCGAACGCGTTCGTAGAAAGAAATGTTTGTTCGTATAAAAAAATGGTTCGGGTTCGCAAAGAATGGCACTACGAACGAACGTGTTCGTTCGCAAAGTAGAAATTGTTGTTCGTGTTCGTTCGCGTTCATAGAGAACCTTTAAAAAAATCGAAATACATCCAGAAAATCGCCTTTTTTATTATTCCTATAAATAAACTTTTGTTCTATTAAAATCAAAACATTTAAAGATTTTTTAATATTTTCTTTATTGAAATTCGACTGTAACTTATAATATCGAAAGTGTTCGTGAAACACATTTTAACTGGTGACAACGAGAGACAACATAAAGGTTGACATCAAATAGAAACGCATTTGTTTTCGGTAATATTTTTTTTTAAGTTAAAAATTGAGTTATTGGTTGGATTAATCGGAGTTGATGTGTTCTTTTTCGTTGCTTCTATTTGTCGATGTGTTTATCACCGATTGTCATTGGTAATTTGTGCGAAACCATTCGACAAAATCGTCGATCAATACCGGCCACGCAGATTCAGAGTCATAATTAGACATGTTGTCATCGATCTCGGTTATAAAATCTAACAGCAAATACCACACGTCTTTTTGAATCGGACGATTGTTAATTTTCTACAATAGATAATGATAGGAATAGAAAGAAGACGAAAAAAATCATTAGAAAATGATTAAAGAAAGAGTAAAGAAGATGATAAAATCAGGTAGAAAACAAGTGTGATCAACTTACCGTCAAGAATTCGCACCATTGATCAAGAAATTTAAATTGACCTGAAATTAGAGAAAAAGAAGAGTAAAAAATGTTTTAAAAAATTGAAAATTCCATATGAACTTTAGACAATGCGTTGCCAAATTACCTCTGAGCAAAATGTTCCAGTATGCGATGGCCGTTTCCAGATCGATGCCTTTTTGTGTGTCGTCTTTTGCATAGGTGAATGTGAAATGATAGAATTCCTTGAATTTAGTTGGTAGGCGTAATTCATTTTCCACTGCTGGTAGTTTTGATCTTAAACGATCTATACAATCAACGTTCAAGTCCATAAAACCGGTGATAAATTCCTTTTTTGTGAATTCACATTGATTTTCGGCGCGACATTTCCATGCAAAGATCAAAACCAATTTCGATGTTGGATCGAGTTGTAAGTCTTCCAAAAATCGGCATACACCGTCGGTTGAGGTTTTTGTCGGATCATGCGGATCTTCGTATCGTCGGAATAGCTGTGCGATTTTCGTTTCTTCCGAATAACGACTGTATCTTTCGGGATTTGTAAAATAAGTATCGCTGGCCTGATCCAACTTCCAATTGTTATCTTGTAGAATCAACGTTGCCGTCTTTTCACTCGTCTGAGTAAGGGCCATAAACATCTTCAACGTATCACGTTGCACCTTTGACTTGTTCTGTATGTGTGAGAAACAAAAATTTGTTTGTGTGAGAAAAAATCATGTCGGACGCAAAAATAATAATATTCCGATTGCTATCGATTTCAAGTGATTCCACACGCACTGGACAAACCACACAACAAGTAAAATTCCACTACGATTTTTTTAAATTATTTTTTTTGGATTTTTAGCGACTTACCATGTTTCTCAAATAATTTACGTCTTGAAACTCACAAAACTATATTGGTTTTGGTGAGAACACACAAAAAATATATCAAAAATGTCTGATGACTTCGAAAGATTTTAATGCTTACACTTTGGCTGCTGATGTTATACTCATTGCAAATAAGTACAACACAAAAATAATTCTGTTCTGTCTCATGGCACTAATTTGTCTCATCTACCTAATGAATTTCAGTTTAGTTTCGGTTCAATTTCGACTAATGACATATAGCTCTGAAGTTGGAGATGATCAAAGAGAGGGTGTGGTTTAATTCCTAAAGAAAAAATTCGTAAATCGTAAGGTCAAATATTAAAGAATGAACACCTGTTTACATAAAATATATCAAATGCACTTAAAAGAAATTATTCGGATATTTTACCAAATTTTGCGGCAAAGGTGAAGAGGTAGCTCGACTCACAAAAGAAGCGATGAAAGGATCGATGACATTCCAAGAGGCGCTTCGACTACGCTTAAATATTATTCAACCGACACAGCAACAAATTCGGAAATTTCTTCAATCACGACCAAGCACATTATCGCCAGGCATCAAAGGGCTCGTTGACCGGTTACGTGATGCAAACAAAACGGTGTACCTAATTTCAGGTGAATATGCTGCATTTGATATGAATCAGCCAACATCGCGAACTGGCGGCAAAAGCGAAGCCATCCACATAATTCGAAAATCGTCGGAACAAGCCGGAAATGTTAATGTGACCATGATTGGTGATGGAGCCACCTTGAAGCATCACCGCCGGCCAACAATTTCATTGGGTATGGGGGCAACGTGATAAGAGAAGAAGTACGAGAGCATGCAATAATTATTTGCAATTTTTGAATACATCCAGCTTCAATGAACCGTTTTGTCGTTCTTTGGCTATTGATTGTGTTTGAATACTATGCTGAAATTTCATGGTAATAATGTACAAATCTGCTCATTTGAGATGTTGCGGAAATTAAAAAAACTTCCGGCGAAAAATGTTCGGGTTTGGAGATGAAATCTAGAATTTTTTTCTAATTTGATCCAACGAATGAACGACTATTGCCATTGGCGCCGGCTAAATACAACACAATATCAGTCGATGAAGATATCTCAAGAACCAGCATGAGTCCACATGTTTATGATGAAAATGCCCAAGTTCCAATAAACAAAGCAAATAAGCCTCAGGTGAATCATTGTTTTTGTTTGTTTATTGTTCAATGGATTCTTCTGAGAGAAACTGTAAAACGAACAGCATGTTGTTCGAAAGCGCAAGATATTTGGTCATTTAAACAATTCTAGAGATATTTACATCAATCATGAATGGAATAACTGTAACACCGCAGGCCATTAGTTAAAGTCCGAAAATTAAAATTCAAGCAAAGCCCAAAAAGAGTTTCAAGTATCGTTTATTGTTCTTATATTCAATGCGATAGAATGAATGTATTTATTTTAAATGTATAGAAATCTGACTTTAAAAGCGTGTATTCTTCTCTGCAAAAATACGATGAGAATGTCGCTATGCATTTTCATTTGAAATGTCTATAACAGTTGAGCGATTATTCTAGAATCGTCACGCACATATTTTTAGATGACGTATCGCAAGAATTTTATGAATGAAATGCAAGGTTTAATGGTATCGTTGTGAAAATTGAAGATATACTTGGTGTATTTTGATCAATCCAATAAGTTCTCTTTCTGCGATTTGCCGCATTGAAGTGGATAAAATACCTAGGTACGTTGTCTTGTATGTACTGCATTGGTGCGTGGCATAGAAAAGAAAATACATGCGCAATCATACATAGAATTTGTATTTTCAACGTGAAAGCTTCTAAACGAACAAAACAGGCATTCAAATTCAAGAACCAAAAACACATGGGTTATACTCTACCTATAGATGTACGTTGATTTATCCAGTGTGGTATGAACTCGGTTTGTATACATGTGTATCTTTCGCGTCTTCTTTGTGTTTACAGACGACACGTACAAAAGCTTCGCTGCGCGTATTCACACATTATTGGATAAACGATGATTTTTTTTCTCTCTTTTGTGAGCTGTTTTAAGCATGTCAGTGAAAAATTCTCAATTTCATCGTCTACCACAATAACAACTGATTTTCGGCAGTCGTTAAGCAAACTGTCTCGTGTGCTAGCTCGTTCACTTAGTTCACTGTAGTCGTTACATTCATTTGGACACTTTTGCTTCGTTTCATTCACTTGTCTATCGATTTTTGGAGAATAAGAACCATTTTCTCTAGCAAAAAAAAACGTTTTTATTAATTTGTCTTATTCATTCCCAAAAGCAGAGCTGATTTTTTAAACCAATTTGAAATTTGTATGTAGATTTGAAGTGTAAGTAATAATGAAAATGTGGTGAATGGACTAAAGAAGTGAATCTTTCGAATTTTATTTGCAAATGTTTGGTAAATTGTGAATTCTCAAATTAATATTCTTCCAAAAGTTCTAGAAAAACGTATCTAAAAAAATCTGTCCAAAATCGATAATCATTAGTGAAATTTGGCCCAAATAAATTTTGGCACATTTTCCATGTCCTTAAAAAAAGTATTGAAAATAGAAAGCTAAAAATAGTACCTACGATTGTTATATCCTTTTTTCATCACTTTTGAATAATTACAAAAAAAAAATGTACTAATTTATACCAAATCTCGAGAAAAGTGCCATATATCTGTAGTCTTTGCATTTGTACAAAACTCGAAACTTACCTGTGTACCTGGATTGCCTTTAGATAAACGATCGATATACGTGTTATATACGTACAATATTTCCGCAATGAAAACGTCATCTGAGATATGGTTCTAGTAAGTGGATTGCTCTTGGTTTTCAACCGGTTGTGTGTGCATTGGACGTGAGTAAGCATCGAGTAGCATCTGTGAATGGTATTGGGACGTCAAACAGTCGCATTGATGTTTTTTTCCCCTATGAAACAAATTTCGTTCAATGCGTTTATCTTTTGTGTATGCGAGTCAGTAATTTTATCGGCGATAATAAGCAAATATTATGGTTTACGTGTGTTGATTTGCAATTATTTATTATGTTCGGCAAGTGCATGGACGTGTTTTATGTTTCGAATTCTGCATTCAATGCTCAAACAAGATTGCCCGACAAAAGTGATGGTTTATCGCGCAATGTCTTATGAGGTTTTTTCCATACAGACATGATTTTTTTTTGTTCATTTCCATTTCAAGAACATAAATATTTAACGAGAATGCGGAAAAACAGTAATATCACGACATAAAACCGAGTGCGATAGCAATATAATAAAACATTATTGCAACACAAGACCAAAAAAATCGTTCGGTCATTGAAACGAGTGGCTTAGTATTTTGATCATAAAATTAATTGTATTGAATGTGATTTTGAATTTTTTTTACAGATGTCAAGTTTACGGGCGATTGCTTTGATATGTGTGTTATGTGTTTTGGTGTCCGAATCGGCTGTGTTAATCGCTGACAATCTCATGCACCGTATGATAGAGTTGAATTCCAAACGACCGTTTTGTAAATCTCATGTCGACAGGTGATTTTGCAATTGAATTTCGAATATTTCGAGTCGATAAATCAAATCGTTAAAATTTATTCCGTTTTCGAAATGATGAATTGAAAAAGAGGCGACATTCAAAGAATGCTTCTGGCGTCTGATCAACGGCGTGTACGTTACGTTCCGATGGAGGTGATTGAAGCTTTGGAAAAGGAATGCAAAGAAGTTGGCGGCTTGCAACCGGAAATTCAAGGAGGTCTAGCTTTTATCTACCCTGGCACGAAGTGGTGCGGTCCAGGTGAATCATTGTTTGTTTATTTGTTCAATGGGTTCGACTTTTTTAATTTTTACATGATTTGAGCAAGTGCAACATTTCAAAACATCTTCCAACTGATCACTATTTACAAAATCGGCTTGGATTCTTTTTTTGCCGCAATAATATTTTGTTCACGCTTGCGAGCAATTCGCACATTCATACGTTGTGAAAAACACGTTTTTAGCTAATGGAAGTAAACAGTGTTAATAATAAAAGACCACAAACAAATTTAACCTTCACGGTTGATGCCATTATTGTCGTCTGCCGGCATATACATGCGAAGCGATCTCAACTTACTTTCAGTCAAATGCAAACTACGTAACATTTATTCGACAATTCATCACCAAATAGAGCAATGACAAGCATGAGCTTCTGTTTATATAGAACCTTTTAAAAAGAAACATTAACTTTTCCATGGCCATTGGCTATCATGTTTATTGGGTTTGATGAATTTCTTAGTTTTTCTGTTATTTTTTTTTTAAAGTACTATGCTTATCAATAGATGACATTCAAACGGTGAATATTGTCTCTTGATATTATATAAGAGTGTTTAGCGTGTTTCTAGCAATCAAACGATTATGTATGCTGACATATGCTAAATGCGATTAAAACCGGTAATTATAAAATCAAACACCCAACAAAATATTAAGCCATACATCTGTTGGAATTTGAATCTTCTACATAAATTCCATGAATTTTGAGAACGGCAAAAAAAGAGAATATTGCGATGACTTGTTATTTTAATTATTTAATCTAAATTAATTTCAGGTTCAATTGCCGAAGAATATAGTGACGTAGGACGGTATGCTGAAGAAGACAGATGCTGTCGAGAACATGATTTATGCCCACAAACTCTCTCGCCGGGCGAATGCAAGAAAGGTCTTTGTAACCAGCAACAATTTACGAGAAGCCATTGCGAATGTGATGCCAAATTTCGTCGCTGCTTACAACAATTAAATACAGGTAGAAGCAAAAATAAAATGTCTTACATCCGTAAGATGAACTTTTCCGCACTGTGATCCACGACATGAAAGAAAACTAAATCTGACATTAGTTTTAGATAAAAATAATTTTCGAAGCACTTTTCTTACAAAAACTACTAAAGATGGGAATTTTTGTATCGGAGCCATGCCTATATGATATCGTAATCATGTGAAAATTTGCAGAGGTTATTTTTTTCATAAAAAGTTAACATTCTGAAAGTTTGAAGAAATTTCAATGCATATTAAGGGTACTTCCCATACAAAATTTCGTTTTAGAGCGAAAAATCCAAAATTTTGTTCGGGAGGTGCCCCTAATATTCGTTGAAATGTCTTCAAACTCTCGGAATAGTATTTATGTGTGATAAAAATAACCTGTGCAAAGTTTCAGCTCATTACGATATCATACAGGCATGGCTTCCATACAAAAATCCAAATTTTTTGAATTTTTTGTATGAAAAGTGTTTCGAAAGTTGATTGTATCGCAAAACTAACGTCATATTCGGTTTTCTCGTACCCAAAAACCCCCCAATACACATTTTTGAGTGTTTAAGAATACATTAAATATCACTTTTGGAAGAAAAATTGAATTTTTCCCATGGATGGACATGGGCATCACACCAGACATGACACTTTACCCTGTCAACCAAAGTCGCTCAAAATCTAATGGTTTCTATTCCTCGGCACCCCCAATCATCCTGTGAAGTCAGATTTTGAATTACTTTTCTTGTTTGAAAGTTATCGTGTTAACAAATTTTTGCGTACAGGGTACAGCGTACAGGGTACAGGGTACAGGGTACAGGGTACAGGGTACAGGGTACAGGGTACGCACATACATTCGGACATCGAAAAAACGCTGGATTCGTGTTCCCTGGCCCCAAAAACACCCAGAAAACACATTTTTTATGGGTGTTAATTTTTCGACCGATTCCAATACTTTACCTTACACACTAGGTGTGTGCGGAAAAGTAAAATGCCACATAAAAATTAAGTCAACGTACGCAAAATGTACGTTTTAAAAAAATAACGCTTGACATAGCATTATATGTGAAAATAAAATATATTCATGCAATTGACCTTTCGATGATGATTGCATAAATATTTGAAACGAATATACGCTAACCATTACAAATACTTTATATGAATGAAACGGTATTGTATCCGTAGATAAAAGAGTCTTCAATTCTTACACGAAACGCGTACGTTGTTTACGATTGACGTGTTTTATTACGTATATGGAACGCATCATCAGCCTCTCATGATAAAATCTCTTGTTCACAATGACAAACACATTTGAACTTGAAATGTGATAACACGACGCTATTATGATTCCACGATTGATGCGGATCAAATGCCTATTTCTATTTCAAAAATGGTTTTGAATTTTATTAGCGGTTAAAATTGGCCCAAATGTGTCATTAGTATTAATTATCACGATATTATAGACAATAACAATTTGTCGGATGAGTTTGTTTTTTATTTTAACTTTATCTCTTTTTGTCTTTTGGATTTTTCCGGAATAGAAACAGCAAATACGCTTGGCGCTGTATTTTTCAACGTCGTCCAGGTAACTTGCTTCAAAGAACGGCGTCCTTGTTCTACACATCAAAGGTAAATTAAATTATTTTCAGTGATTCGTTTTTGAAATTAATATTTTCCATAATTTTGTTTTGATTTTTTTTTGAAATTTATTATTTAATTTTATTTACAATTTTGTTTTGGTTTCCATTAGTTCAAAATCAAATTGTTCGTATGGATTTTATAAATCGGAGTCATATATATCAGCGCCGCTTTTGTCGGCTCTTAATTCAGGCCAATTAAAACCGCACGTGTATCACGTATCAAATTCAGAAATGAATGCAAGATCGATGTATTCAAACGCATTTCATTCACCTAATAGCAGAATTTTTGCGAAAGAAACACCCATGGAATTGGAAAATTCAATTCGACTGGCATCCTTGGGATTGGCTGCTAAAAATATCTTTCATGACATGGTTGTGCGGCGTCTTATTGGTTTTACTCGCTTACTAAAGTTGGCCACACACATTTTGGAAAGTTAAACTTTCATCTATTTATAAGCTGCCTATGATTATTCAGACACATTATGACTCATCAAAATTTTAGCTTCTAAACTAATTCTAACGATTCGAATACATTTGATATTTATAAGTTCTTTTAATTCGATATTGTTTTAAATATTGAATAAATTTTGTGTACTTTATTTTTGTTTTTTATTGCGTTTTAAATCTTGTTTTATTGCCCAATCATGATGTTGATGACTTTTGTTTCAATTGAAATTCACGGTTTATTTAATATTTTTCCCGCAGAGTTGGCTATAATAAAACCGTCACAGATGAACTGTGCTCCCAGTGGAAATTCAGACCATCCGAAAAATACATAGCAAGCATTCAATACAAATGAACAAAGAAATAAATTATCTTATGATGTTCTCAGCGGGCTAGATGCTTTAAATACTCGACGCGTTCCAGGAAGTAGAATATTAGAGCTAAAATTCCTTCGTTTTTAGGAATGGATTTAAATAGCCTTTCGATCAAATTATACCTCTTTAGCAATGAAATTGCAGTAAGTTTATGTCACAAATTTGAATTGCTCAAAATTCTAACACAACAATTGTATTTACACAAACACAAAATAGTTATTTATTTACTCAAATCTATATACAAATATTTATCGATAACACACATAAATTGTGATTTTTCATTTCAAAAAGTATGGTGTAAAATAGTAAGTATATACAACGTAAGTACGTGCTGCTTGGGAAAGGTATATTTTCAAATATTTACAACCGTCTCCATTTTTGTTCGCGAAACTTTGGATCTCTCTTAATGCTTAATTTGAACATCTTTGTTTTCGTTTAAATTAAAGAAATGGCAAAATATTTGAATTTTTTTATTGATCTGTTTACCGTTGGATTTTTCGATAATTTTGAATTCCAAATAAGCATGAATGAACGTTGTGTTGATAATTGAAAAAAAAAAAGTTTTTTTCTGGGAATTTCCCGCATCAATAAAAAAATCACAATTCCCAGAAAATTGAAAAAATAAAATATTCACACATCTTATTCGCTTAGTACGGGTATTTGTGTCAAATAATGAGATAAGAAACTCTACGTTATGCTATAAGCGGAATGAATTTGTTTTTACTACGAGTGTTTGACTTTTTACAAAAACTACATCATAAATTTGGTCACAAACTAACCGATATTGAATTTCGTACCATCACGCGAAGGATAAATATATGCTTTCAAATTTGTCCAGAGATATATTGCGTTAGTCATATATGCAAATTAAGTCAAAACAAGCATTTGATATCACATTCGTGTGAGGTTGACAGTTCAACATGATTTTAACGATTTTAGACACAAAATTGAATTGTGTGAGACATAGAGCGATATTCGACAGAAAAAAAACCGTGTTAACGGGAGGACGAAAGATGAGACAGTGTATGAAGAGAAAAAGTTGCAAAAAAACCATGGCACCAGATTGTTTGATTGTTGTTTATGTTTTTTCCTATTTAAATAATCAAATTAAAAAAAAATTATCAAAAAAGGAAGATATGGAGTCAAACAAAATAAGTTTTACGGTCTGATTTTCGACTCGATAAGCATGCGAAATGAAACGTGAGAAGATACCAGGAGTGGCCAATATTTAAAAATCAACAACATCTTAAAATTTACGAATGAAAACAACATTTGACGCGTATTTATCCAAAAACAACAATTCAACATTCCATAAATGCTGGACGATATTAAATGCCATACACATTTAGTGATTTATTCAAAGTTGCTACTTCGCATGTGCTGAAATACATATTCAAAATTTGAGATTCAAATTACGTCTTAATCAAGTGTTAAATATGATCACCATTTTTTCTCTCTCTCTATTTACTCGAACAAATTTATTCTTTAATCGAGATCATAGAAAAATCAATCTAGCACAGATGATAACTTAATTATATCAAGAAAATAATGACAACGAATGACCGAACGAATGAACGAAAAAATAAATTGCGCTAGTATTTTTCCTCCCAATGGCAAAATCGCCAGAAATGCCAGTGCAAAAACGCAACAACAACAACAAAAAAACAACAATAATAATAATAATGCAAAATGTTAAAACATACGATCAAACGAAATAAATATATGCGGCGCACACAAAAAAACAGCTATCGAATGATTCATTAAAATCGAATGACATATTCAGAGCCAGATTGTCTAGTTTTCAGCATTTTGTGATGTTGTTGCTGTGCCTGTCACCATTGCTTTCCGCTCAATATGTACAACGTTAAGCGTTGAAAAATGAGTTTAGTTCAGTTTTACAATGTTTTATATATGTAAATTAATGCTTTTGATATTGACGCTGATCATTTGCCTTGGTATATGTGCGATGACGCTGGTATTGATTTGATTTGGACTGTGTTGTGTTGGTGCATTAAAATACGTGTTTATTACTCTTTGAATATTGTTTTAAAAAAAATGATAATAGTAATAAAAGAAATAGTCGATGAACTAGAATTGTAAACAACTTTGTCAACATGACGAGATATATATCGTTCATAGAATTGTCTCCTTACAAATTTGGATGTGAACTGAAATTAGCAAGAATTTTGAATTTAATCATTGAAAAATTCGCGACTTGCTAAAAGCAAGACTGAGAGTAAAAATTGAATTATTGGAATATGAATCGAAGCCATCTGCTGTTGTTATTCAAAGCATATGTAAAGACTTCACGCATTTCATTTAACATACAATAAAGTGATAATAAATAATAGTAACGCGCGACAAAAAGAAATGAAAATTAATTACAGCAAAAATATTCAGCGACTGCAATCAAACTGCAAAAAAAACACACACATGAATAATGTGTGTTTTGTGTGCTTTTCTCTCTCTCTCTCTCTGTAAACTGTGTTAGCTTGTATGTATCAATCTGGCGATCACATGCATGTGTGATGAATTTAGAAGAAAAAAACACACACACACAGTTCGCTTGTTGGCAGATTATTAATCTTCCGATGAAGTGAAAAATTGTTGTTAATTTGCATAAATTCCACGATAGCTAGACTTGGTGGAACTTGAGCTTGTTATGACAAGCCAGAGCCTATGTGATCGACAAAATGAAACTGTTCCAGAAAATGAACGACTATCTATTCTAACATGAAAGGCAAATAAATCAAACAACTTCAAAGGAAATGTGCTTCGGTCAGTGTGTATGACAAATGGAATGGATACTCTAGTTAGATGTTTATTCATTTCCAATTGCTTTATTGTGAGCTGCTCATATTTTTGCTCTTCAAACACCTTCTTTTTTGTGTGTACACTGTACAGTGTACACGCTAATAACAAATTCAAAGTGTTAATCTAAATGTTTATGTTTGTGTTCATCCAATATGTCTATACAATTAATAATAATTAAATGAATTTAATTAATTGCTAAGCTTGAGTGCGAATGCACATTTTATTTATGCACCACGGTTTTTTTCTTCTATCTAACATTTCAATTGCTGTGGGAGTATATTCGATACGAATTTATTCGTTCGTTGTCATTCATTTCGCTGTGTATAAAAATTTAATAAAAACGCTAAAAAAGTGATAATTTTTTTGTTCGCACCAATTGATCTTGCTATATTTGTTTTTCGTTGAACGGCACACATTGTTGCTGTTTTTTTTTGGATTGATACCTTGTGACATCTCGATTACGTGGCATGACTCTAAATGTAAAATGCACAATTTAAATTGCATTCTCCAATATGCAGGCCTTTTTTTTATTAGAAAAAGAAGTAAGCAACAAGCCCGCATTCGACAAATTACCACCATTATATTGATGTTTACGTTTGTTTGTCGCCTGTCCAACGTTAAAAGTTTCACTAAACATGTGTGTGTACTCCAGTTCAGAGCTCTCGTGTATCTACGGCCTACGTAACCATATACATATATTTTTCAAGCCGTATCGTAGGCCATAAAAGCACTCACATCCCAGCTAAATTCATTGATTACGATAAAAATAAGCGAAAAAAAAGAGCAACAACAACGCACCAACCAACCGATTTCATTCATAAAATTCATTTTGTTATGGTAACACCCGTCTAGCAGATCCGCATACATTCATTATATTGCAAGCTCGCACGCTCGTCGTTTCGAGTATTTTAAAAACAGAAAGAAAGAAAGAAAGAAAAAAAAAAACCGAGCATAAAATATAAATAAAAACAGACAAAAAATGGCGAATTGAAAGAACGACTCGCTTATGGCCAAATAGCTCGCGATGGCGGTAATACCGTAGAGTACAACACATTTTACTTGATGTAAACGTATGTAAAGTGCATACAACATCGGATCGAACGTAGAGAATGAGAGATAGAGAGATTGAAAAAAAATATAAACAGAAATGTGTATATACGACAGGTTTAGTTCATCAAGAGGAGGAAGGCGATGATTGTGTGGTATGAAGAGGCCGTAGATTAATATTATGAGTCATAAATTAACCACTTCTATTGGTTTTCGAATCGGAAGCAGCAGTCACAGCACAAGCAAACAAAATAGACCTCAATCGAACAATGTGCCACTCGAATGATGAGAGAGGAAAAATGACAAGACAAAAAGAAAGTTGTGTGTGTGCATATGAATGTGTTTTTATGTCTTGTGTTTGACCTGAACACTAAAAAAGGGTCTACGTCAATAATATTACAATTAAAAACCTTAATGGATGTTTGGCATACATAACCACTTAAGGGCGGCTTAAAAAGTTAATTCTTGTTTGCAGTTTTTCGACTATGTGTAAAGTATTTTTAAACACCGAAAATAAGGACGTAAATAGCGACGCACAAATTCTATGTACATTGAAAAGCAGACTTGGAAAAATTGGGTAAACATATGAAAGTCTAGAGCTATTAAATTCTGATTTTTCTTCAAGTATTGCGATGACGACGACGACAACGACGAAGATGGAAGTTGAGAAGAGTGAAAGAGGTTTAGCTCTCAATAAACAATAACAAATAAACCAATAAGTGAACAATAATGAATGTAGATGCATGAAGTATGTTTGAATTGAAAGGTATCGTATATTTAGTATTTCTGATATAAAGGTGCACACACAACACTCTCAGCCTATCGAAAGAGAGATAAAAAAAACGCGACAACAACGACGACATACTACTGAGAAAAAGACTCACGATAACTCTCAGCAATGAGGCGACAAAAGTGATGACTATGTGTCGACATTAAAAAAGCAATACACACATTTGCAATGAATGGAAGAGAGAAATGTAAGCAAACAAAAATAAACAACCAGCTCCGACACCGTCTTACATCTCAAAAATAAAAACCAAGTACACAAAGCAAATAAGGATTTAGGCCGACTGGCGAATTCCGGCCTTTGCATCACAAATGCACTTCCGAAAAAAAAAACGAAACAGAACAAATCAATAGATCATACATTTTCAAAATAGATATGTGGCTGTTGTTGTTTTTAAATTTCAGTTTCCAAAAAGTTCCACATTTTTCGAAATAAAAAGCAGCATGAGTGTAGAATATGAAAAGAGAATAGCGGCGCCTACATGCCCAACGTACGGCCCGTTCCGTGGTGCACGAAACAAAACGCTACAAGCAAATACGACGTATAATATAATTTTTTTACAATAGCAACAGCAATACGGCTCCCGACAAGCACACAACCAAGCTGAGCTAAGCAGCAGCAGCAGCAGCATTTGTGTGATATAGTTTCAAGAACTTGTGTGCCTCAGTGTCAGTCAGAGCTTGAACGTTAAACAGTTCATTTCTGTCTTTAGCGGTACAACAAAACTGCAAAACAGTCAATAATAAATACGACAAAACAGACATTATCTGTGCAAAATTAACATATCACTTACTTCTTTTTTTTTAATCAAAGACATTTATTGTGTTTAAGTGTGTGTGTACTAAGATCAGTAATCTAATTGACGTCTTGTTTAAATTGAATTTTTGTGGCATTTGAAATTTTGTGTGTGCTTGGTGCTGATTTTTTTTGATTAAACAATTTGGTTTTTGGTAAATAAGCATTTTATGTCGATGAATTCGAATTGATACGTATCTGTTTGTATTGTTATCGAAATTTCCGTGAATTGTGTGTGTTTTATCTTTTAACTTTTTATAGAACAACTGTAAACGTTGGACATTTATTGCGGTATATCGAATAAAATTTCGATTGTGTGAATTAATTAAGGTGATTTAATTGCATTTTCATCATGTATTTTATTATCAATTTTACAAATAATCTGTCAGATGTAATTTTATGGTAGCCGGATTCAGTGATCACTTTTTAATTGATTTCGTATTAAAATTCGAATTGTTTGACCCGCATTTGCTTAGAGTTGTGAATGAGAAAAATACAAATATGAAAACTATATGTAAAGACCATTTTTGGTGTTTTTTTCAACCAGAAATATGCACACATTTTCTGAATAACCGTTAATATAAAAATGGTCATGCGATTCGATGTGAACTAATTAGAGAGTGGTGCGGAGTGGTGCAGTATAAATTGCATCTGGTGAAAATATCGATTGTCATTTATATTATTAAGCACAATTTAATGAATACGCTTTCAGATGACTCGACGCAAACATAGTAAGAAAAAAAAATATATCGAACGAGTCAATTTTGTGATGCTATACGCATTTTGGACACCACAACTCACGTCTCGTTTTTTTTCGTTGCCACCTGTTGTGTACGGCATCTTTCTTGTTCACAGTTTCAATTCACAATGTGACTATTCCATTCGCACCGCATAAATGCTAACGCGAAAGTACGCGCCCACATATGTATATATACATATTGATTGTCCCACCAAAAAAAGTGAATCGAAATCAAAATTATACGCTTGAATTGGATGCCAATTGTGAGAGAATTAATATGCACACATGTATGTGTGTGCTTTTTTGTCGCCTCACTCTCTCTCTCTCTCTCTCTCTCTCTCTCTCTCTGTTTCTGATCCGATGAAATTTTTATGCATATTATAGTAATGATATTGAATTAATTCGATTCGAATGCGTCTGCTCAATTAGCAAAAAGGCTGAGATCAGATTAAATCATTTTTTAGAAAGAGAGGGAGCAGAGGGAAAAAGACGAGCTCAAACGAAACACAAATCCAAAGCCGAAATGAAATCTATGTGATTCACTTTTGTTCATCGTCATCGTTATCTCGATCGAGACAAGACTATTTTTAAGCGTTTTAATCAAGCCTCCATTTGGCTAAAATTAAAATATAAAGAAGATGTTGCATCGCAAGCAAATGGCTACTTTGTCTGTTGAGAGAGTGTGTGTGTGTGTGTCGTGTATTTCATTTTCGAGTGATTATGCTAATGTTATTATTATTTCATGAGAAATCCATTTAGATTTCTTGAATCAGCGTTTCCACTTCGTGTATTTTCCGTCGATTACATTCGTACCGAAACAAAAAAAATAAAAAACAGATGTATCATAATCCAACATTTTATGCGAAAACATCATCGCAAAACATTTGCCATTTCTGCAATTTAATTAAAGCGGCCGCGCACAGATCACAACAGATAGGTCGACTGTGTGTATAAAATCAACGAATAAAATGCCAAAGAAGATGAAAAGCGAAATAGAAACGAATCTTTTTTATCTCCTAATGCCCCGTTTTGAAATGTAAACTTTCTGCCACGGATAATTTATAGCGGCGCCGAAATTAAAAGCGGCACACAAAACATATTTACGATACCTACTATATCACGTGGATGGATAAATGGGCGATCGTGTGCCCCATACGTGTCCAGAATATGGAATGGCTGTCGTCAATCCTTATCAGAAATTTTTGGTAAAAGTGCTGAAATTTTAATTGAAATAAAAAAAGTGTTATTCTATCTTTCACATTGGAAGAGGTGCCAAAAAGATCGTGTTTTGTTTTCACTCCATATTCAATCTAAGACCATTAATTTCAACAAGAATAAGTTGTGTTTGTGTGTGGCTACGAGTGAATTTGCAAGATCCGTTTTCCATTTCCATTCACTTTTTAATTGAAGAGCATTGACGTGCATCACTTTTCTCTCTCTTTCTATCCCCCTCTGATGGCTGTGTCTGTTTTTTCTCATTTTAATTTGCATTGAAGTGTGAAGCAAAGTCGCGTCGTCATTTGAATTTTCATTGAGTCGCGGCATTATTTTGCATCACGCAATAATACAAACAGAAACAATTAGTTTTATATCACACACATTGCAAGCATATGTTCTCAACTGAATGCGGACAAATGCACGGTGTGTGATGCGAAATGTATGTATATTAAAATTGGTCTTACTCTCTTTGAAATTGTCACAAATACGAACTGTATGTAAATGAAATTTCATTCATGCTTGTTGTCACTCGGATGAGAATGCGTTTGCGTAATTCTGTTACTTTTTTTCGCTCTCTCTTGTATCTTCTCATTCTTTCTTTATCTTAAATGAATAGTGATTCCCTTGTCGCAAATATATATGTGAATAATAATCACATTTAAGGCGCAGACTTAATTCTCTTTTTTTTTTTGCTTTACTGTTGAGTTATGTCATCACTTATTTATAGGCAGATAAAGCAAAAATGAAGAAGAAGAAAAAAAATTCATCGCATTCATTATATTCAATATGAACGGAAGAAGATTTTTCTCTTTGTTTATTCCATGATTTTTCCATATAGTTTATGCCAAACGTGTCCAAACACTGTCATCGCATTTTAATTAATTACTCAATTCAGCACAAAATACACACGATCCAGACACAGTCAACGTCACATATTTATACACATACACAGCACGATATTGACCATTATCAATTAGCTGGTGCAATAAAACCATCATAACAAATTAAAATGAATTTTAAAAGTAAAAATGTATTAAGAACCATTTTATTCTATCTTCATGCCATAATTTTGTCGAACACTTTGAGTTGATTGACATGTTTGATAGCAGATTTTTTCCTCGCCACTGTATTGGAGGTGTCATTGCAATAATCATCGTTTGTAAATCATTTATCACCTTGCAAATTGATTCGTGCGATTGCAAGAAAAAAAAACACGAAACGACACGGCAAAAGTGGGTTTCAGCATTTCTTCGAGCGGCGTTCGATCGCTATTTTATTGTTGTGTTTGCGTTTTTTTTTGCAAACCTGCAAAAATCGATGACACTGTAGAATTGGCTATTTTTAGTTTTAGTATCAATTTAAGCGAACAATTTATGGGCCATAAAAATGAAACTTTTGTGATTCCGAAAGCAGACGATACTCAAAAATTCAAGAACGTCAATCGAATCGACCGAACAAGTTTCAATCATTATAAATGAAATCCAGTCTGATTGGAAGCGCCGACTTTGGTTCTTAAAAATAGTCAAATTTCATCATAAAAACTGAATTGATTTCACTTCAAATTTAAAAAAAAAATTGAATCACTGCACACAAGTGTATGCGAGCATGACTAATGTAACATCGAAATCAAAGCATCTGCTTTCAATTTCAATCGATCAAAACGAGCAACAATTATTACATATATTTTTTTTTTGCATCGATCGTTCTGAAAATCTATTACAATTAAAGCTCTAGACAGACCTTCAAACATTTTTTGTAACTGTAAATGGAGAGGAGATTGAAAATGAAACAGAAAAAAGTAGCATTTTGAAAAAGTCAGACAAAAGACATCATTGAGATTTGTTACTAATTAGGAAGCTGAATAAGTACATAGGCAATAAAAACAAAACCGAAACTAATAGAATCGGCTGTCAAAAGAAAAAAAAAAACGATTACTTTGATTGAATTTACCAAATCTGCAAACAAACATAGAAAAAAAAAGACTGAAATACTTATGGAGAGTTAGACGAACATTTCGTCACACTTCAGGCCAGATGGACTGTACGAGCCAATGCATATGCATTTCACATATTGTATCGGCGTCGACGAAAAAAAAAAAACAACAACAACAACTAAAACACTCAATTTCCTTTTGAGAAGCATACACCGACTCACGACGAACAACACATCCAGTTGGTGTGTGCGTGTATTCACATACTCGGACCGTGTGTAGTGCACTTAATTGCATATTGTCGAGTTGATAGCATAAAGTGCATTTCAACAGCGGCGCTTGTAAGTATGTTTAAATTTAACCTGGCGCCTAAGAACAGTTGTAGAGTTAGTTTTTTTTTTCGTCGCTTTTTTTCCCTTTTATACGTATGTTATGTACACAGGCAACATGACCGTACACTTGTAGCTGTGTCGTTGTTTGTTCGCATCGTCGCTTCCATATGCTTCCATTGTTGTTGTTGTTGTCGTTTATTTTCTTTCTCTCCTTACACGAAGAAGTTGCAGTGCTTTTCAGTTTGTTCTTTTTCCTTTCTCTTTGATTGAATGATTTTGGTTCGTCTATACTCTATTGCCGTGTGTCTCGTGTACTGTTGTTGTTTTTTTTTTTTTTGCTTTCGGGATGGCGTCTCTGTTGATTAACCACAAACACAAGACCGTCCGTGAAATTGGATCAATTTATCATATTGCTATTTACTTTTTACTGCTGACATTTACATGATTTTATTAATTCAACAACAGACAGACAGAGATACATCAAACACTTTTTTTTTACACTTAATGACTAATGAAAAGGATAATCTGCCTTATCACATTCGGCTACTATATCAATCACATATTTGTTGTGTGAACAAATGAAAAATGTGAAATGATGACGCAAATATTTTCAAGCGTAAATTTAATTCCCATCAATAAAAAAATAAATATAAATGAGCAGTGAACTTTTTTTTAAAAGTAAATTGCGTCTCAAATTTGAATAATTTTGAATTGTTTTCGATCGAAGGTTTGTTTGTCCTTTGAAATGAATTTGAATTTCGGTGGGGGTAGAGGAGGAGTGAGCGCCGGAGAAGAGGAGCAAATTAAAGTGGCACCATCATTAATTTGGTGCGTTTGATTTTTTTATTATTATTATTTTTTTCTCGTTATGTTCCCATTAATTTGAATCGTCGTCTACAAGTCGATGAATTTTATTTGGAAATCATTTGGGAGCATATGTGTGGCTCCATTGGGCTCTAATAACAATGGCTTATAAATACAGCAAAAACAATACGCGTAACATGTATATACATACAGCGAAAGAGTGAGAGATATTGAGAGAACAAACCGAAAAATTGAAATATCGTACAAATCCATCTTTACGAGTTTTGAATTGGCGCCAAAGGCATTTATTTCAACAGCACACTGACAGAGAGAGTGTGAGAGAGAGAGAGAAATTGAGAAAATACCACTCGAATGGTTTGGTGTGTGATGCCGAGCCGTGATCTTAAGGTACTCATTTTATTTGTTCGATTTGAATTGGTTATTTCTGTCTCGAGACTCTTTTGCTTCTTAATGTTTCGCCGTTTTGCTGCTGTCGCTTGGTGTGTGTACTTTTTTTTCCCTTTCGGCACAATTCAACGTATTACACACATTTTGACGGTGATCTTTGGCTCCTATTCTCTTTGTTCCGTTCTTTTTTTCCTCTTCGGTGAGATTTCAGTTCAACTCGCTAGTTTCGATAAGACTTTTAAGTATATTATCACACAAGTATTTTTGTTTTAGTGTAATTCGCTTGTCGACGTATTTGCTACGGGTGCTTATTGTTTGTCGGGTCGGTTTACTTTATTCTGCGCTTTTGACCAAGTGGAAAATGGAAAAATCATGACGATAAATGCGTTAATTTCACAGTGAAGGCAAAAAACTCGAAAAAATACCTTACACTGTCTGCCGACAAGAAAGATGGATGAAAATAAAAAAACATCACTTAATTTATAGATAAACACGCACGTGTGTCTCGCATCAGTACAAAGCCTATATTAAACGTCTTTCGATCGCTTAAAGCAAATTAAAAGGGACGTTTTGGTTTTTGATCAAATTCAATTGTCTGAGCCAAGACTAGCAATTATTGAATAACATCGAAATGGTGTCTTAATCCTTATTCTTGCGATGGTTATCAGTGAACAAGAGCAAAACAAAGCCCAAAGTGTGAGGATTGTGGTGAGTGTTTTGTTTCTTCTTTTCGTGATGTTCCAACATCAAGTAAAATGATGCATTAAATTACATACAAATTTTCATGTGTGTATTGTTTTTTATCGGTGCTGAAAGAGCTGTGTCTTTGGATTGTGGTTTTGTGCTTTTTTTGTTACTTTGTTTTTGTGTATTGTGATTGTTGTTCATATGCGCTGCAACATAATAGCTTCATAGCTAGAACGAATACAAATGCTACAAAATGCTCTTTTTTTCATTTTGTGTACACATGTTTATACGTGCATGTGTGTGTATAATAATAAAGCACCGCATTTACCGGCGCCTGTGAGCGCGCATTTTGTGGTTCGTTCATTTGTTTTCTAACTCATCATTTTGTGCCGTTTGCTTTGGTTTCATCGTTTCGTTCGTTTGCTTTATCTTTTCTCTCTCGGCTCGAACAAAAATTTAATTATTGAAATTGTATACTAAGCGGACAGAGTTAGGCGCCAGTCTACTTTTTTTCACTTATATTTTTTATTGTTGTTTGTTTTTCCGTTTCAATGTGTGCGTTTTTTTGTGCCTCTGCTGCATTCATAATTTGTACAACTTTTTTTTCCTTCTCCTGGTGTTTGGTTTTTTGACGGTCGCGAGCTTATTTTGTTACTTCGGAAATGATTGGACAGTTTGTTCTTTCAAATTTATTGTTGCTAATCATAAATGCTTGCGCTAAAAATAGTTCCCAATAGTTTTGGTCTCCTTATGTTCACGTCTGGTTACCTTAAGAATGAATTATTACTGGGACACATTCCTTCACCTTATTTTTTTTTTAAACTAATGTGGATTTTCTCATGTTTCGTCGCCGGTGTGGCAAAAGGTGCTTCCGTTGCATTTTAAACCACTTACGGCAAATCAATTTTGAGGAAAATCCGCAAACCGCATTTTTTGTAATTTTTTTCAGCAGTTCAAATCAAATGCAACAGACGATGATCGTGTGAACTTGGTTTCGAAACCGCACACGTCAACGGATCAATTTCAGGCGGCGATAAATTATTCGTTCTCTCTCTCTATCTTTTTTGCTCGCTAGTTTTTGCACATAACAAATCATGTCTTTCTATTTTTATACAACGGATTTATTTTTAAATCTATGCGTATGTCGCCGGTAAATGCAACAATGTTGCATTCTAATTACATTTCGGCATTTTTCAAATGTAATGTTACAGTGCTACCACTGAATTAATGATATAGTGAATTAACGATAAAATAGCGATTAGAAAATGCATAAATTTCTCATAAACGTTTTAGTAACAAAAAAACATATTTCATGTGTTTTTTATTGCTTTTGTATACAGCAGCAGCAGCAGCAGCAGCAGTCGCATCAACATTTGAGTGGAGGCGCAACTGTTTGGATTGTTCGTACGGCATTGTAAAAATGAAGAAACTCAATGAAATTGGTTAAGTTAAACCAGTAAACGATGTGAATAGATTTCTACAACTGAGAAGAAATAAAACACCAGAAACTATAAAGAAGAATACAACGGCTAAAGTTCAAGGAGTTAAAATTCAATTGTCAGATCAATTAAGCAGGAGATAATCAAAGGAATCCATTTACTTTTTGAAATTCAAATAAACATATAAGATGCAACATTATTGGCACATTCAATTCTTTATCATTTTCGCTATTAAATACACCGCATTTGCGGCTTTAGAGCCAAAATTGGCTGGTGAGTGACTTATTTTTTTTTATCTTTTCAATCTAAGACCATAAATTTTTTGTGTCTCATTTGAATTAGTTAACTTCCTTAATAACTAACATTTTTTTTTTTGCTAATTTATAAACACAATTTCCATTCGCACAGGCAAATATTCACACGACGTTGATTCGGGTCATTTATTTGTGCCGCGTCGAGTACATCACAATGGCACACATTTATCATACAATGTAACCCATTTCCATGGTTATGATAACGTCAATGAAATCAACAGTGAACATCCAGCTCTTCACTATCATATCGACTTGCACGATCATACATTGCATGTCGAACTTAAGTGAGTGTCAATTCGATTAATGTTTATTTCAATGTTTGCTCTCTTTTTCCCTATTCGCTTTTTATAACTGAAAAAAAGAGAATATATCATTATTATTTAAGCGTTTCTAAATTGAATAGAATCCCGAAAAAATTAAGGTCACTTTCATTTGATTGACATTCTTTTTTAGGCCATCTGTTGATTTTATTGCTCCCTCATTGGTGGTGGAACGACATCGACGCGATACTCGTTCTCGTACAAAGTACAATCACCACAATCGGCGATGCCATTTTCAAGGTCAAGTTCGAGATGATCACGAGTCCAGTGTTGCACTATCCACATGTAATGGCATCGTAAGTGTTCCTCATAGATTTGTATGAACTATAAACAATAATGAATGAATGAAAATATTCTGAAAAACAATCAAAAATTCACCGAAAAATATTCACTTGATCTTCGCTAATTATATTGTCAGTCAAAGCAAAATATCACAAAACATTCACAAACAAAACATAAATCGCAAGTGTCCGTTTCTAAACTTGTTTTGATTTAATGTGACAAATTTGTACAAATTTACCACCTAATTGTGACGCCCATAGTCATAAATCAGCTCTTATTTGCCATTTGCAAATCGACTAAATTCTGCTTACAATTCAAATATAAAATGTGTGGTGACATTTTCATTCGATTTATTCAATTGTTTGCGCAGCAAAGGCGAACTTATTTGCAAATTGTGACATTTCTCATGTTTTTGCTTGAATTTATAAACAGTAATTACACAGTTTGGTTGATTTTATTTATTCAATTGATCCGTAGAGTGGAATGATGCGAACGAAACGAGGTGATTATTACATCGAACCATCGAAACATCATCAAGTTAACGATGCAGGCCATCATCCACATATAATCTTTCAGCGATCGGCTATAAAAGTAAGCATTTACCGCATTCGATTTGTTAATAGTGTAAATTTGTAAATAGAATTGTTTCCGTAGCAACAAACAAAACAGCAGCAGCAGCAGAACAGTGTTGACAGTGATATTAAAGATAAAAATAGCAGTAGTGAGGAGAATAGTATATTAAATAACAAGGAATATAATTTAAGAAAACGAAGAAAGCGCCGAAAAGGTCATCTAAAAAAGCATGAAGCCAGCAACTGTGGAACAAAGGAACCAAAACGACCCAGTGAAACACATATCGAATGGCAACCACAAGGCAAAGTATGAAATAACATTTGAAACATTCTACATCATATTTTAAACATTTATTTGAGTGCAACTAATTCACACGTTTTTCTATGGTTTTTTTTATTCTTCGTCGTAATTATTTAGGTGATTGTTCAAAATAGTCGCAAAATTCGGCATCGTTTGCGAAAAAAATTCTTTAAAGATCTTGATAGACAGCAACAACGTTTGCGTAAGAGAAAACAACGATTGCATCGTGCAAAAAAAATGGAACAAATATTGAATCGAAAGAAGAAAAATCACACGGACGAAGAAGATGATGATGTCATCAATTATCATGTACAAACACGCAATAAACGATCAATTAGCAGTCCTCGTCATGTAGAAGCATTGCTTGTGGCCGATCCAACAATGGTTTCGTTCCATAACGATGGTGACAATGTTGAAACGTATTTGTTGACCATTATGAATATGGTTTCGTCATTGTACAAAGATCCGGCGATTGGAAATTTAATTAAAGTGGTCGTCATTCGTATTGTTTTGTTGGAGGAAGAGGAGGCTCATCCCGATTTCAATGTTACTCATGCGGCTGAAGGAAATTTACGAAATTTCTGCCGGTAAAGCTTTGCATTTCATGAACTGCACTCACATTTGAAACGACCCATAAATTTCAACATTTCTTTCTTAATCGACAGATGGCAACGTTTAGAAAATCCAAAAGATGACAGCGATCCAAGTCATCATGATGTGGCCATATTAATAACGCGCAAAGATATTTGCTCGTCAGACGGATGCACGTATGTATCATACAATAAAAGATCATTGACTTTTACTTCATTTGAATTTCAAACAAAATCTAATCGTTTCTTCTGTTCATGGCATTTGCCAAACGAATAAATATAAAATAGAACGCTTGGAGTTGCAAACGTTGGTGGAATGTGTAGGCCAGATCGTTCATGTAGCGTCAATGAAGACAATGGAATCACATTAGCGCACACGATTACACATGAACTTGGTCATAAGTGAGTATATAAATAATAAAACAAATGAAATTAATTTATTGTTGATGTAGTGGAACTAATGTTGTCAAAATCTTATTAGCTTTGGAATGTATCATGATACGGAAAAAACTGGATGTGACCCGAGGGCTGGCTCCATCGTACATGTGATGACACCAAGCTTCGAAGCCGATACCATACAAGTCAGTTGGTCGAATTGTAGCCGAAAATATATTACACACTTTTTGGAGTAAGTACATGACAACATGCATTTAGAGTGCACTTTAATGGAAAATACTAAATGCAATTTTTAATCGACAGTCAAGGGCTTGGAGATTGCTTAGACGATTCACCACCTGAAATGGATGTTTTAATGTATCCCGATTTACCGCCGGGTGCAATGTACAATGCCGATCTTCAATGTCGTCTACAATTCAATACAACTGATGAATCGGTGAAAGTTTGTTCAAAAATGAACGAGATTTGCTCTCAACTCTGGTGCTTGGTAAACGATGAATGTGTTACACAACTGCGACCTGCAGCGCCCGGTACGAATTGTGGAAAGCATAAGGTACTTAATGAAAGGGAACATTTTAAAAGTAATTTTCGAAAATGACACATTTCGATTTTTGTGGATTTTCAGTGGTGTCAAAATCAACAATGCGTTCCGATCGAAGATCAACCCCCGCCAATTGATGGCCAGTGGGGAAATTGGACTGAATATAGTAAATGCTCACGCCACTGTGGCGGAGGTGTTTCAATGGCTAGTCGTGATTGTGATAATCCAAAACCAGAAAATGGAGGCGCATTTTGTGTAGGAGAACGCATTCGCTACAAAGTATGTAACTCTCATGAATGCCCCCCGGACGAACCAAGCTTTAGAGCACAGCAATGCTCGACATTTAATAATGAAACTTACAGAGAGAAAAAATATGAATGGTTGCCATATTTTGATAGCCGTAAGTAATCTTACATTACATAAAGTGGTCAATAGCATTTTTTAAATCTGATCTTATTGATTTTTGATATTCAACAGATGATCCATGCGAACTTTACTGCACTGATTCTGAGGATCAGATAATCGTGCCTTGGGGTGACAATGCAGCTGATGGAACGCCATGTGGAACGAATTTTGGGACTAAGGACATGTGCATATCTGGAATTTGTCGAGTAAGTGTTTGATTTCGGCAGCATTCAATGAATGTACTAATTGAAGAAATATCCTTGTAGAAAGTGGGTTGTGATTGGGTTGTTGATTCGAATACAACGGAGGATCAATGTGGCATTTGTGGTGGAAGTGGCGAAACATGTACCACAATCAAAGGCGAATTCAATAAGAAAATGAATGTAACCGATGATTATTTTGAGATCACAACAATTCCGAGCGGTTCACGTCAGGTTTTGATCGAAGAAATTCATCCGTCAAAGAATTATTTAAGCATTGGACGAGCTGACAGCAATCAAACATTTTTGAATGGAGATCGTTTGATTTTGATGCCAGGTGAATTTGCCATTGATAATGTGATAAAAGGATTGTACGAGCGAGACAATGAACAAGAGAAGATTAAAATACCAGGACCAATTCCGTTCGATATGGCTGTTCGGGTATGTTGTTCGATTACATTCAATATTCAAATGATGCTAATTTGTTTGGATTTCTTTCTTAAAATTTGTGTAGGTATTGGTTCGTGGAAAAAGTAAAAATCCCGGCGTAAGGTACGAATACACTCTGACATCAAACGATACAAAGGATCCAGTTTATCAGTGGAAATTGGGCGATTGGAATGCATGCTCAGCCACATGTGATGGTTCGTATTAGCGAAATTGGGAGTGGGGAAAACTGATTGGAAAATGACCCAATAAATTTTTGTTACAGGCGGCATTCAAAATCGTGTGCCAGTTTGTTTCGAAAGTGTGAAAAGCCAAATTGTCGATGAGGAATTCTGCTGGACAAGTGCTGACAATGATATACCAAATAAAAAAGTTCGCGTTTGCAATGATGTTCCGTGTCCAGCGCACTGGTGGGTGGGCCCATGGCAACTTTGCCCGGTTACGTGTCGAAAACATGGTGAGTTTTACGATTGAAAAGAGTTTTCGAATCTTTTTTTTTGTTAATCAAAAAATATTTTTGTTTCAGGCCAACCACATCCAGTGAAGCGACGTACAATCATGTGTGTTGATTACAAAGAAAATGCCTTATCTGATAGTAGCTGCAATAACATTGAAGAGCGACCATCCGAAACCGAATTGTGTGACATCCATTTACCGTATTGCAACAGCGGCGAAGAAGACAACAATGAAAATAGCAATATGATTTAATAATTTTATGCGAGTTTCCATGTGCCTAGCATTCAGTTAATCAATAAACAAAAAATTCGCACTGTACGACAGACATTTAGAGAAAGTATATCAAAAATTTACATACTATATTTATGCATTCAATTTTAAGAAGGAAGAAAACAGAAGTATTGTTATTAATCATTTCAAAATGTATTTGTATTGTTTGTTTTTTCTCTTTGTGTACAAATTGATTGGAAAAAATATTCTCAAACTAACTACATTTAAATGTTATATTAACATTAGTCTCTGATTTTAATTTTCTTCCTTTTTTTCGCTACGTTACAAAATACGTCTGACATATACAATATATATTTTGTTTTTAAGAACGCACATGATGAATATTGTTCTAGTTTTAGTTTTGATTGATTTTATTTAAATAAAAATGTAAGCAAAAAAGTGTCAAAGCTGATTAATTAATTAAAATACGGAAAGAAAACAATAAAATTAACATTTGTTTCAATTCACTACGTTGCCTTTATTGAAGGAGCCTTTATTGAAGGAGCCTTTATAATATCATTCTCGAAAGAAAAAAAATATTCTCGATCTACGTTTCGGTTGTATCAAGAAAAAAGTCGTTAAAATTCTCAGTTTGTTTGAATTTCATAGTGACAGCAGTGACTGGAATCGTGAACGTTGGAAAAAAACCTATCACGATGCTCACGTAGTGGCGCACGCGAAGTAATGAACTGTCAACTGTCTCAAACGTATAACTATATGTGTTGCGTATGTATTGAGTGAATGTGTTGTTTCTCTCTTTCTAACTTATCCATTTGACGTTTGCCACATTCATGCAGTGTATATGTGTTGATGTGATAGTAGCTCATGTTTATTAAAAATGTGTTGTAAATGTATTGGTGTTTTTGTATGTATATTTGTTTGATTCTCTTGAATCTCTCAGATTTTGTGATTCTTGTGCTCTCTATCTCTCTTTCAGTGATTTCTTCATACCACAAAATGTGCATTTGTACATGCCTAAAAATTTATTGAGCAGTAGTTATTGGTAGTGCTGCAATGGCGGACATCGTGAACAATGATAACCGTACCAAAAATCCACTGGCATCGCATAACAATTCACCAGTGAAATCAATTGTTGACGGCAATCAGCAGTGTAATGAACGAGCAATTCGAGCAATTCAATCAAATAAAAATTCAACCGTGGAAAATAATACCAGCTATAATACGACTACAACGACAACAACAACAACAAAAGTGAATCCAAATCAAAACATATCATCTTTACCAGCATCGACAAAAACATCACCAAGCACAAAAACAAAGCAAATGTCCAATACGACTGTGAATACGACTGGTCCCAGAGTTGTCACCATTGTTAAAACCGAAACAGGATTTGGTTTTAATGTAAGAGGTCAAATATCCGAAGGTGGACAATTGCGCTCAATCAATGGCCAATTGTATGCACCTTTACAACATGTATCGGCCTGTTTGGATAATGGGGCTGCCGAAAAAGCTGGCATAAAGAAAGGCGATCGAATTTTAGAAGTGTAAGTATAGAATGTGAAAAAAAACAACAACAACAACAAATAAATTATCATCGAATTTGCCAGATTATTCTAATTCTCATTGTACGTGTACACATATTGGCGTGAATTATTACTGCGTCGACAAATGTTAATTATATCATATGGTGATGATGTGGTGTCTCAGTTCAAACCACAGTGAAACGGAGATAAGTGAAATAGAGAAGCAAGGAAGAAGAGTAAAAAAAAAACAGTGTACACGTTACATTTATTTGAAACAACATTCAATCTCAATATCAATTAAATTCTGACTAGTTAGGAATGGGTGTCAATGAATGGTGGCATTTGTTTTTGTATGCGAAATGGCACAAGTGACTCACATAAAATGTTAATCATGTCAAAATTTACTCATTTTTTATTGTGCGATAAGTCGGGCGAGTGACGAGAAAAAAAATGCCTTAGAAGCGAAAAAAAAAATCAATGTTTAACCTAAAAATGAAACACGTCAAAGAACTCCAAACGATATAAACAAAAATATGAATGCTTTTTTTTGTTGTCCAGTACTCAATAAATTGAAAGCAGTGCAATTTTTATTACGCACTCGTTTTTTTCTCTCTTCTTCTTTGAATTAAAGCGTGATTACATCAAAGCTTGTTATTTATGTTTCTACTGTTGCTGTCTACTCCTCTGCAACAAATTTTCTCTTGCATTTAATTGAATGCTGCTTTATGCATTGCAGAAAGATCTATGACGCGCTATACATTTGCAGCGAGTTAAATCCATTGGAGAAAAAAACCAGTTTCTAGCTAAAGTTGCAGTGATTACGTATAATCAACATTAAGAAAAGTAGAAAGAGCAAACCGAATAGAGAATTGCACGGTGGCAACTTAACTCACATGGCAACAGTGAAGCTATTTTTGCAATTTAAATTCACAATAGAGGCGAAACATTTCTCTTATACTGTGACAATTAAATTCATCCACGGGATTTGCTGTGACGTGAACGACATATTCAGTTGCGCCATAATGGTTCTGTCTGTTTCACTATAATTATGATAATTGATTACAAATATCAGCCATGCCATCAAGTCTATGACAAACTAATTGAATCTCGTTTGCACTGTAAAATTTGCTGGTTTCTATTCGTTCAATGGAGCCAATCAAACAAGAGAGAAAAACTAAACAAAAAATATGTCAATCAAACCACTGCAACCATCTCTGTTCTCTTTCAAAGCACTATTGTTTGAATTTTGCTTATGTTGAGCAAAGAAAAAACAACGCAAAATGACAAATGTGAAGACACATATACATTCAGTTAATTAGAGTCAACTATGTGTGCAGGTCCTAGAGTCTATTCGTGCACAACCTTATATTGTAAAACGTGCCACTATTCTTTGTAACACCATTCACTTGTTCCATCGCAATTGGGTTGTTTATTTCCATAGCTATGATTCCGTTCATAATTGAAAAACAATAACAAAAATCATACAAACGCTTTCTAAGTTGTTGATTGAATGACTGCTATAATGTCTCTGCTGAACAGTTTCATTTATTAAACACGCTTATTAGAGAAACAAAAATAATGAAACAGAATTGACCGTGCGTCGTTATTGTTGCCATGACCAGTTAATCAATTTTGACGTCCACACACACCTTTATCGGGAATTCCAACTTCATTGCGATTTTTTTTGGAAAAAGTCAATGTCTTCTTCGATTTCAAGTTCATAAGATATGTCTATGCAATTAGTTGGTTTATTCTAGCGATAAATTTCTCCAATTCTGGTTAACGTAAGCTCTGAAATTGAAAACAAAACAATAATTATACTCGTATTGAATTTATAAATCATTTGCCGTTTTGCTTTCACCTATTCGATCGCAGTTAACTTACCGTGTGCATTCCAAGTGTATGTATACTTCGAAAAGTCTAGAATTGCTGATTCGAAGAATATATTTTAAATGTCATTTTGCCAAAACCAGTATTTATTTATTGAATGTTACTGGTATTGAAATTAACCCAAATTGTGATACACCCCAAAAATTTGTTAACTCATCTCAAAAAGAAATTATATTAAAATGGATATACATTTATTTCCAATCTGTCACGAATGGATTGACGTATCAGAATGTGTGATTTGAAAGTCGATGCAGTATGTGTATGTGAATTTAGTACTGTGAATAAATGAATGACCACTGCATTGTGGGATTTTGTCTGATTTGAAACAGTGAGATTAATCACGTCACATGCCACTGTTAATATCCTATTTTTAAATTTAGACTTTTGTTTACATTGTTGCTATCTGTATTTTCGCATTCGTGTTATATTGCATGTGTAACAGGCCTCGTTTGAAGGCCAAGTGCAACGATGCGAAAATTAAAAGAGTCATTGCTGCATCTACTTACACTCGATGCAATAAAATATTGATACATTTTTCATTCGCACTCATTCATTACAAAAGTGATTTCTTTTTCATTACAGAAACCATGTAAATGTCGAGGGAGCAACTCACAAACAAGTTGTTGACCTGATCAAATCCGGTGGAGATTGCCTTACACTAACGGTTATATCAGTAACCCAACAGGTATAAAATACTTTATTATCGATGATGAAAATAAAATATTAATTCTATTTGCATTGAATAAAAAATAGGAAGCCGAAAAATTGGAGCCACAAGATGAACCCGGATATTCATACATCGATTACTCAGAGAAGCGTTCACTACCTATTAGCATACCGGACTACAATACGGTCAATCGAAACGGTGAACGATACATTACATTTAATATTCATATGGCCGGTAGACAATTGTGTTCGCGACGTTATAGAGAATTTGCAAATTTGCATGCAGCGCTCAAAAAAGAGTTTACGGGCTTTAATTTTCCAAAATTGCCCGGCAAATGGCCATTTCAATTAAGCGAACAACAATTGGATGCACGTCGACGTGGACTCGAACAATATTTGGAAAAAGTGTGTGCGGTGCGCGTTATTGCCGAAAGTGATAATATGCAAGAGTTTTTAACCGATTCGGAGGATGATTTGGCATCATCGCCGGTTGACATTAAAATCATGTTACCCGACCATGAGGTAGTCACTGTCAGCGTACGTAAATCGGCAAATGCACAACAAGTCTGGGACTTATTGGTGCAACGCGCCAAACTTACATCATACACCCAACAATATTTCTATCTCTTTGAAATTGTAGAATATAATTTTGGTATGTTATTTGTTCTTTCATTTTGAGCATGTATTGTATCTTTCGAATGAAAATCGCTTGAATATTGATATTTCACAGAACGAAAACTTCAACCGAACGAAATTCCACATCAGTTATACGTTCAAAATTATAGTACTGCATCGAGTACATGTTTATGTGTACGACGATGGCTGTTTTCAATTGATCGCGAAACAACGTTACCACAAGGCGAACAAGCGGCAAAATTCATATTTTATCAGGTGCTTTTTGTTATAAGTGCATTATTCGTTGAGTTTGAATTGAAGGTGAATGAATAATTTATATTTTGTAGGCCGTTGAAGAAGTCAATCGGAATAATATTCGAGCTGAGGGCCGTCTATATGAACTGAAAGCACTACAAGATGCGAAAAAAGCATCCGAATACTTGGCATTGGCTCGCACATTGCCTGGCTATGGTGATGTCGTCTTTCCACATTGTGCATGTGATAGTCGTAAAGAAGGCCATGTTATACCAGCCATAGGTGAGTCATATAGAAATCGTAACAAAGGACATGCCAAACATGACGCTGGCAGTTCTAAATTCGGATCACCATTTTTGATCGTCGAAAGCAATAAATTATGGATAAAATTTTAAATTCGTTTCCCATTCAAAATAAGGAATTGAAAAAAAAATCGCGGAGATAATCAAAAAATGCGCAATCCCAGTACCAAACATATGCTTCATATAATTGTTTAATATGAAATTATTTTTTTATCAATTTTTTCTTATCTGTTTATATATTTTTCAGGGATGACCAGTTTTCGATTGATAGCATGCCGTGAGGATGGCTCTCTGGAGTCACAAACAGTCGACCTAATGTGGAATACAATTTTACGATGGGAGAGCGACGAAGAGTCCATGGCATTTTGTTTTGAATACAGTCGCAATGAAAAACCACCACGATGGGTCTGTATCATGCTATAATCATTTAAAAATTACATTTCCATTACCGAAGGAATGCTCTCTATTCTTTTGATTTTTCATTATATGTTCCATTACATCTTGATTAATTTCCATTTTATCCATTTTTTTCATCTACGATTCTTCCCCCAGGTCAAAGTCTATACGCCATATGTAAGAATCATTTTTATCAATTCGATTTATATTGTCACCGTTTTTGAAATATTCGTTAATTTCTTAAATTTCAGCACTCTTACTTAGCTGACTGTTTTGATAGAATAGTTGAGGAACGTAAATGGAACGATTGCGGCGATTAAAGAGCATTTTCGAAAATCAATAATCGATATTTATCATGAACGGAAGAAATTCAATTCGCAAAGCTGACTTTAAAATTGTGTTAGTAATATATATATACATTTTGCTTAAAACAAATTACAACGTATTTATTTAAGTAAAATACAACCAATAACGATATTACAAATGTTACTGAAGTAATTTGACAGAGAAATTTTTTTGAATTAAACATTTTATTGTTTGAAAGAAGAAATAACCCATATTTGACTTAAAGTTAGCGGAAGATGTTTAGTGTTTATTGTAAATTTCTATTGGAAAAAAAGAGAGAAGAATATTGACGAAAAAAGAAAATTGTTAAAAAAAAAAATAATGAAATTGGCCTGAGGTCAGATTAGATCTGCTTTAATTGATTATTTTGACATTTTGAAACTCATTTTGTAATGCACTGTAATTGTGATTTATTATTTTAATTATTATGTTTTTTCGATCAAAAATCTTTCATTACTTCAATTTTGTAAATTCATCTCCATTGAAAGCAGAGAGGTTATGTAAAATATATGTACAAGTGGGTGTCATTGGAAACGAAAAACGATATAAAAAAAATTTATATATACATGCCATAACGATTGAAAATAATATGTAATGCATGCAACCACAAAAAATTTGACGATTTTCTGTAGAAAAAGAACAAACAATATTTATAGATGATTCTCTCTATTTCCGAAGTACAATGTAAATATATTGTTTTGTTGAGTTGAATATTTCGTTTTGGTACTTTGAACACGTCCATAGAACTAATTGATTTTCATTTCATAAGTGCAAACAAGTGACATGGATATTCATAGAAATGATATTGAGTCCGTTAGCATTGAAATATTCAAATTCCTCACGAAATTTAAACACTTATATGATGGATCAAAAGAAATGTGTTAAACTCCGTTAACTTGAAAGATTGATTCAACAAAATCAAAAAAAGGGAAAAAATGTTTAACGAATAAAAAATATGCCGAAATTTTTAGGACACAATCAAGACATTCCAAGCACACCTAGTAAATAAATAGAAGAACGCTCGAATTTACCATTCATCTAGTCTTGTAAAAATGGTCCATTTTTTTTTAAATTCACATACAGATAAGGCGTGGATCTTGTTTTTCTTCGAAAGATTCATTTGATTGAAAAATTTAGACGTTTTCTTTTTGCACATCATTAGCCAATTACTGTTGAATGAGACTTAATCAAACAAATACACCGTGAACTGAACCTATCGAAAGTTAAATATGCACAAGAATTTCATTACAAGAAAAAAGGAACGATTGAGACCAATTTTCTTAACATGCAATCACATTTAAAGAATACCTTAGAACCTGTATTTCATAAAATATGTCAAAGTCAACCATAAAATGGATGGAATAAAAAATTCGAGCCTAATATCACATTAGTACATAGAGAATTTAAAACAAATCTACTTGGACCAGCGCCAGCACCTTGTGGTTACATTCTCATAGCATTTTTTTTGCACAGCATTTGATTTGTTCTCTTGGAAGATATGCGCAAAAAAAAAATTCCTTCAAAATTTTATTGCATTTATTTCTGTGCAAATCAAACTATAGCGATTCTAAATACTTTAATATAAACAAGGAAATCACTCTTCCGCTCATATTTTCAAGTGAAGGGAAGAAAATAGATTGATTTCCATGTTACATTTTACATTTTTTTTTTATTTAAGCTGAAGTTTTGATTATTATTAGACATCTATAAACACAAGCATCGATTGCAATAAAATAAACTTAATATTAAAATTTCAGATTGTAAAAAAATGAAAATATAGGTCAGTTTCCTTGTTGACTTGACCACAATTCATTTACATGGTAGATATTTTCCGAATGAAACATTTCCGATCGAAATTAGAAGAGTTAAAATTCAGAGACATGATACACCAAATTGCTCTGTGAATTCCTTCTGCCTTTCAAAATGTCTAATACTGTGTTTTTGAATTTGATATAATAAATAAATGCATTAAATCAATTGTGAAGCCATTTAAGTTTTGAGAGTTTCTTCAAGTCATCTAATAATCATAATAATAATGGTAAATTAAGTTAGTTCAAATGTCATGCAATATATTTAAGATTTAAAATTATGAAAGAAAAAAACAAAATTGAAAATTATTAAAGAAAGTTAAAAAATCATAAAATAATTTGTGTTTTATTTCATTTTTATTAAGTAAAAAAAATTGTTTTATAAAAACAGAATTTATAAATTGTGTATGACCGGTATCACACATGCGATAGTGATTTATCTACTCGTTGGAGTTAGCAACAAAATTAAAAACAAATTTTCGCGATTAAAAGAGACCTTGTTTCGAGCTGGACACTTGCTGCTGTTGCTGAAATATTGTAAAAACGGTTGACACAAATATATGAGTTGACTGTGTATTTATTGCAGCAATATAAATGGCGTATCTGACAAGTCATACACAGGTGCATGCATAATACAGTAACAGAGTGCAACAAAATCAACGAATGTACAAAATATGTTCGTCCAAAATTTGACTACCTATCCGCTTCCACATAATTTTTTTTGTAGAAATACATCCTTACTCGACTAAATTTAATATTTCATATATTAATTGTGGACCATATTAACTCCAGCCATTTTGGAACTAAATATGAGACGTGTCCTTTTATGTGACTGCATACATCTTCATCTAGATCTTCAATCACATTGTGTTTCCTAATCAATAAAATCGACTCTACATTAAATTAAAAAAAGGCAAATCTATAGAACAAAAAATACATCTTTATCCAGGTAAATTAATCACGCATAAAACCGAATGGGTGGCACACGCGTTAAAAAAGTATATTTTACTTTTTTGCGGTTCGATCAACTCAAGTTACAAAAGTAAGCATCGTTCCATGCGATTTTATCCTGTGAAAAAAAAACTTGACCGATAGCGTTTGCTTATGGTATATGATGTGATATTGCATTAGTTAATATTCGTTGGGGTTAAAAACGAGCGATCGTATTAATTATGTGATTAAAATAACGAACAAAATATAACGCGAAAAAGAATTCATACTGTGAACATCAAAAATTAACCTATAAAAAATGTCGCACGGCGCGCGAATCTTTCCCAATTTTGCTTTGTTCATCGTATTTGCCAAAGCTATTACAAACATCATGTCCAAAAATGTAACCGAATGCGCCATTGAAAAAGATTATTAATTGAGTTGCGGTTAAAAGAGCCCGAAATGCCGTGTACACTGACTCAGTGAAATTTCAGCTGAATTTTTTCATTTTTATTCTAAAAACATTCCCGCGAACGAAATCACATCAAATTATTTGTGACTCTTTAAAAAAAGAAATAAAAAACCGACCGAAGTGTACAGATATGTGACTCATTCTCTTTTTTTTTGTTTAAAGAAAATTCGCTAATTTTGATCGCCACATGAGAACGTGATTTGAAATCGAAATACAAGATATAACAGAAAACGATTATTTTTACGTGAAAATATATACCAATGTGGCTTGCATACGGAATAGCCCAAAATTTTATACGAATTTGGTGCGGTTTATTATGTAAATGTTTTTTTTTCTTTTCAAAGAACTGATTGTTCGGCCAAACTAACAGTTTTATTGATGTAAAATAACAAGCAGAGAAAATGCATATAAATGAAACTGGTGAATAAAACCATTCTTCATTCATCCATAAGTGGAACTGATCTTTAATCAAATTTACACCGCCGTCTTTGTTCGATTTGCATTCGCATTCTTATGTTTTCATTCGATATTCTTTGGTCGTTTTGATTTTTCACGACAATGCTTCACGTCGATTCAGCTTTCTTCTTCTTTTTCTTTCTCTTTCATTGGATTGTATGAAGAAGACTAGCTCGCACATTTTGAATGTTTTGCTATTGGAAATCACCCAAGCTAAGTTTGCATAGAATGAACGCATTGTAGTAAGAAATAGAGAGGATCATAGTGATCATTGATGTCTAGAATAAAAAATAACGAACTTTGTCTAAATGTGAGACGTTTTTGTACATTTTCCACTTTTCACCTCAAATTCGATGAGCGACTCGAATATTGGGTTCAAATAGACATTGCCGTAAATTTTCCTGTGACGAAATTTGGAGGTTTCTTCGATTTAATGTTGCTTTTTGATTAAAGTCTTTGCATTTTACGTCGGAATCACTTCAGCTGGAAAGGATCTAATGAACGCCTTTAGATTTTAGTTGTGCTCCTCATTTCAGAGTCTAACTCACGTCAAAAGTTGAGGAAATCAAAATCGTGCGCTTAATTGAAAGCATCGATTTACCAACGTTATAATATAATGAAATCAGTGTTGAATAAATTTTGCATGCTTTCAATGAAACATTTATTATTTTCATTTTAATGCACCGGAAAGATGTTAATTTAGATTATAAAGAAAAACTATTAAAAATCTTTGAACTCCATTTCAGAAATATTGTCTAAATTAACATTTGATTAAAGAAAGAATTATATCTTTAGATAATTTTATTTTTGAATATATCTAAATCTAATATTGTGTTAAAAGTACATTTGATTTTTGCTTGAATTTGAGCACATAGTTTGAAAGAAAAATGCTCTTTTATTTCAAAAATTGAACAATATAACAAACACAACATGTAAGCGAGACGAGAGCAATGGAAAGACACCGAACGAGTGAGGAAGAGAAAAAAATTATTTGAAGCAGCGAGGCACCGAAACTGGTTCTGCTGCGTATAACACACATTTTTTGCCGTTGTTCTTTTTCTTTATAATCTTTATTTATTTTCTCTCTCTTTCTTATACTTATCCGGCAATCTGTAAGTCGTACGCACACACTCGAACGGTCCGTGTGCGCTGAGATTGAATCGACTGTGCTAAACAGCACAGAATGTGAGAAAAGAAATGATATCAAACAAAGGAACATTTTGCTCCACTATAGAGACAAAACATACAATTTGCGAAGCAAAAATGTGTGCACAATTATTATGGAAATGCACAAAAGATACACACTCTCAAAACATCAAATGTCACAAGCAATTTGAGAACTTTCTAATTAGTTCGGTCGTATGATTTTGCTTGTCAACAGCAGCACACTTTGTATGTGACGAAGAAAAAATTCAAATTTTAAAACAAAAACTGCATTTTAAGCAAAGGAATCGTTTCGATTTCAAAAGCAACGAATTCAGCGATAAAAAAACACCGTACAAAAATTGATAAATAAACAACAAGTGGAAAGAGACAAAAATGTCCGAGCAACAAGATCATCGTGAGAAGAATATTTTGCTGGCGAAAAATCTCAATGAAGTGAAAATGAATCTACGGTCGAAAAAAAGAGATGTGGCCACATTGCAATCATTACTGCGTGCCGAACAACAACGAAATTTGCAATTGGAATCAGATCAAATGTCAATTTTGCAGCGTATCGATGGGCTTAAGAAACAATTGGATGAAACATTTATCAAAAACACTTTCAATTACATCAATTTGTCAAAACAACTCGATGAAATGCATCAGGATAGTATTCAAAGCATCGGTGACACCAGCATGCTCAGCCCAACGACTGCAATCAATTCCAGCGTTGTCCACAATTCGACTCAATCGTTGTTTTTGGCAAAGATCAAAACAATCAGCGAATCTTTGATGTCTAATGGCTCAATTCCTGATTTTGATGCTAGCAACATTTCGGTGATCGAATCAAAATCCACAACCAATCGACATTCGTTGAGTTTCAACACATTCCAAATGGGTTT